CAGAAAGTTTTTTAGATCATTCAAATCGGACGCTTAGTTCACTCAAAAACTGCTATTTTTTGCACATTTGGCTCTGTATCTTCGAAATCGCTGGACCTGTCTTTGCCAAAAACTAATCACCTCTTCTCCCAATCATTACAAATTGAATGTTTTTTAGATCATTCACATCCGATACTATTTTCTCTCAAAAACTCAATTTTATTTTCTCCACTCTTTGCTCCGTATCCCCGTAACGGCTGGGCCTGCCTTTGCCAAAAACTAATCAGCACATCTCCCTATCAATAGAGATCGAATGTTTTTTAAACCATTCAAATCAGTTGATCCGTGCGCCCGAGAACGTGAACGAAAAAATGCGGACATACAAAACACACACACGCACACACATCCATTTGGTTTCTGAGGTATGCCCTTTAAAAATGTTCAGAAACCTTCAAAACGTGAAGAAATGCAAACATTTTCATTTTAGATTTTCGGCCCATTACTATAACTATCCTACGGGAAGTTAAAAATTCATACAAATTGGAGAACAGTAAAAAATGTGTGAATATTCTAATGCCAAACAAATGATTTTTTAACTTCCCGTAGGGTAAGTTATAGTAATCGCAAAAAAACGAAAATGAAAATGTTTATATATCTTTACGTTTCAAAACCTTCTGAACATTTTGGCATACCTTAGAAAAAATGGATGTATGTGTGTGTCTTCGGATACAAATTTTTGTCGACGATTTCGGGAACACGGATGAAGCGATTTGAATAATTCAAAAAACATTCGATTCGTATTCCTAAGGAGACGTGCTGATTAGTTTTTGGTGAAGGCAATTCTAACCGTTCCGAAGATATGAGGCAAAAAGTGCGAAAAAGGGTAACTCAGTTTTTAAGAGAACGGAGCGTCCGATTTGAATAATTCAAAAAACTGAATCAAATCAAATTTTCATGGAGGTAGGTCTAGCGGTTTCGGAGATCTAGTGGAAAAAGTAAAAAAAAAAGCCATTTGGCGGTCAAAAATGATCATTAGACATATGCACATCAAATTATCAGATATTTTATGAAGATTTTAACAATAAGTATAAATTTTGTTTACATTCCTATGGGTTCCGTACCAATGTTTATCCGTTAGACGGCGACGCGGTGCTTACGCGCTTCGATATTTCGTCTCTATGCAGTTAAAGCAGTACGATTGCTTTGAAAAAAAGTTCAGAATTTCCAAATATTTCAAAATAAATTTTTCTTCAAAAAGTCCTTTTTTTCAAAAAAAAGTAAGTTTTTGTCAAAAATTTATAGTTTCTCAAAAATCTAATTTTTTCAGAGTAATTTTTTTCAAAAATGTTAGTCTTTTTAAAAAAAATAATATTTGGTACGGTAAGTTCCAGCAATTTGCCTTAAAGCACGATGCCATGCGCCCCATTATTTTAAGGATTTTTTGACCACCCTCGGCCTTGGTGATACGTGGTGATATTCAAAATTAACCCTTCGCCTTCACCAAACAGCATGTGTATTTTTAGAGTAAACCAAGCACATTTGTTCTAAATTTACCCCCCGTATCTTTTTCCAGGTAACCGTTGGTTAGTATCAATCTGGTCAGCAACCCCTCACAAACAACCGCCCTTAGACTACACCGAACTGGAGGCAGGCTACAAGGCACCGGTTATCACAAACGTGCACCATCACTACCCCGAACACATTTCAACGCAGTACACAGAGTTGCAGAAACGCGAAAGCGAAATTTAATCAAGACAAAGATAAAGATTCCATTAAGAAGAAATTTAATCAAGACAAAGACGAAAAGATTCCATTACTATGGCTTTTATAATTTTATATCCGGCCGTTGCCATGCTGGCTCTGTTCATCGTAGGAGTCATAATGATTCTGTTGAGGTACGGCCCTGTTTTGTGCAAGGTGAGACATCATGCTCTGCCTGATGAATCCGATTGGCACAGTAAGACGTATGAACAGAAGATTACGTATGCTTGAAGGAAGGTATGTTGGTTGTTTTGAATGGTAAGGGATTTTGTCTAAACGTCTAAGAAGAAGAATCTCATGCAAATCTTTTAAAATATTACTAGGCCATGTTATGAAGAACTTTCCATACTGAATATTGTCAAAAGCCATGTGGTTGCTCTGCAGTCAGGCGGATAAATGTAAAAAAAAACGATGTTATATAACAGGGTCTTTCTGACCCATACGAGTGACGTTACAGTTTATGTGTAAAACGTCTGAATGCACAGCAAATACTCGACATTTTGACAATATTCAGTATAATTCAGTAGCATAAAATTAAAAAACTACTAAATAACTACTATACTAAAATTGTTTAAAAGTTTCGATTGTACTATCGGCTTCATCATTCAGTTCTTGTGCTTTGAAGGCACATCATAGCGCGGCGACCCGGACGCCAAGACGTACTAGGTCGTCGCATTGCCTATTTGTCTAAGAAACCAGAATTTTTATTTTGTATCTAACAAGAAGAATCTCATGCAAATCCTTTAAAATATTACTTTATGCTTCAGTTATTGTGCTTCAAAGGCACATCATCGGCGCGACGACCCTGGCGCCAAAACGTACTGGGTCGTCGCATTGCCTATTTGCCTAAGAAACCAAAATTTTCATTTTGTTTGATAAGAAAAATCTCATACTTATGGATAGAATAACCACAAGCAAATATTAGACCTAAGGGAAGTGGTTTAATTATAAAAATAAACTTTAAGTTATTTAACATATAATACATAGGCATATAGTGTTATATGTAGATGTATAAATAGAAAACACTACAGGCTTATGTAAAATATGCAACTTAATCTAGACCAATTTTTATAACTAAACGACATCTTACAGGCCTATATATTATGTATCATCTTTTAGTACCCAGCTTTTAAAGCAATATCATCGGTGCGACGACCCGGGTGCCAAACATACCGGGTCGTCGTGCCGATGATGCGCCTTTACTAGTTGGGAACTAAAAGATATATGTATCATCTTTTAGTTCCCAGCTTTTAAAGGCACATTATCGGCGTGACGACCCGGGTGCCAAAATGTCCGGGTCGTCGTGCCGCGTTGCCGATTTGTTTAAGAAACCAGGACAGTTTTAGTGAGATGTTAATAATTAATGCCTCAATGTGGAGTTCAAACTTTTGTGCTCCAAGTTTTTCATTTTACTTGGTATTTAGATGGCAACCCAATGGTTAACTTGTCTGTATTTGATTTTTTTTATTATTATTACACTTTATATGATATTGTTAATATATTTTTAATTTGAAGAAAGAGCTTTTCTCCAAAAAATTGATGGAATATTTAGAAACTAACTTCATTTTTCGTTTCTAAGCATTTATTAATTTAATTGAATAAAAATCAAACAGGTAAACCTGAGATTCTCCTTGGAAGTTGCAATTTGTTTTGTTCAATTGTTTTGGAACAGAATATCAATTTTACTTAAGTTACTTAGTATTAATTAATTTTCATTTCAAAAATATTTACAACGAAAATTTGAAGTGTTTTAACTCTCTTTAGCATTCAAAATAAACCAAAATATTTTCCTTAATTAGAAAAAAATACTTTAATAAGATAGAATTAAATGTATTCAATACAAAGAAAAAATGTATTTGTAAACTAGTGCCTTGTCTAAGATCACTGTAGAATCTCACTGTCAGTTTAGGAATATTATTTTTATACACATCTTTACAAATATGATTAATTACTTAACTTTATATCTATGATCTTATATCTATGTAGTTAAAATCCACTCATAGTTCTACATATTAAATTTATTAGTAATTAGATCACGATACAATCGACATAAAATTTATAATAATAATTAATATAAACTATAGATGCATCGTCAATCCGTCCATTTTTGTATATTTTGTATAAGTATGCACATGTGTGTCTTTTATAAATAAATAACTATAATCTTGTAACAATGTATTTGTGTTTCTTTGATTTTGTGCTACACGGGAGACATCATTGATTTAATTATTGCCATAGTAAACTAGAAAGATGAAAAAAAGTTTAGATGATAATTGTTAATTATTAATTAAGTTAGTAGGGGGTAGGCGGAGTAAAGAAAAAAAAATCTTTAGGGGTTATTTAGTTTTATTTAATATAATTTGTTGAAGGATTCTGTAAGGATAAAGATGTTTTTGGACGAACATACAATATACAGGATTATACAGCAGGACTACATCGAATACATGAATTGTTTCTTATAATTTGAAATAATACAATTGCACTTACTTGAAAATCCTCAAAGGCGGCATTCCATTGTCAGATCCCTTTTTGAAGCCTATACAAAACAGAAAACATTAGTTCAACTATTTATAAGAGGTGTAAGTGGCATTTTCCTCAAATGTGTGAATTTCAATACTAACAATTATATTTTTTTTCAAGGATTTTGAGGTTAAATTCAAATTTTGCCTCACACACACAAACTCTACAATTTTAACGTCAAACGATTCAGAATGACGTGAAACACCAAGAAAACTCAACATAATCTCTTTTAGGTAAGTTTTTAATCATTTATTTACTATCTATCGATTTTGAGGTTATGAATTTTCTATTCAACTTACCGAGATATAATATCGTCGGAATAAATCCATAATGGAAAGTCACTCTACAAATATTAAATACAATCGATGCACGTTCTTTTGCTGCAGGAGATAAACCCATTTTTAATATTATTTAATTAATTTCTGTCGAACTTTTATATGTCGATTTATCTTGTAATTTTTTTGTTTGCCTTGAAGTTGGCTTGAACAAAAGATGGACGGAGGAAAACGATTACGTGTTACCATAGGAGATATAAAATAAATAATATTTGTATTTATTTATGTAGATATAACCAAAAATTAACTAAAGAAATAAGTAATTTATAGCTGTTTTTAAATTATATTTTATAATTTTATTATTATTATAATTTTAATTAATTTTTTACCCCTTTGACAGTTGTCCCAAAAGTGACAGTTCTCACTTTCGTCATAACCTCAAATTGTCATCATGCCTTATCAAAATTTTTCTAAATTAATTAGTATTTAAATTCTATTAAAGTTACTTAATTTATTACCAAAATGTCTCAAGTAGTAACGTGTTTAAAGGATATAGCGACACCAAAAGGAGCTTATTTAAGTGCCCAGTATAAAAAGTAAGGAGTGATGCAATTTTATAATAATAATAGATAATGTACTACTTACTACTAGTATATTAATACTAGATAATACTGATGTAATATATAAAATGTGTTATTTATGTAATTATTGTGTTTTTTTGTAGGAGTTTTGCTTATCACACGTTACAAGAAAGGGCTCCTATTATTTTAACAAATTTTTTAGATCATTTGGTTATAGACCGGTGTGAAATTATCGAGCAATATGAAGGAGTAAGTTGTAAAGGATTACTTAGTTTAAGTCGAAAAGAATTGTCTCTTATCTTTGTATTTTTTTTGCAGGATTCTGCAGAAGAAATTAAACAAATCATAGGACACATTTCAAAACTCAAAAACGAATTGCAAACTAACAAAAAACTACAACCGATTAAAGGACATGGTAAGTGCATAACTATAATCTTCTCAGACTGTACATAACATAATAATCTTTTATTATCTTTTTCCAGGTTCCGATGTAAAAACATGGAACAACTTCCTAGAATCCTTCACCGAGTCCCAAGACTTCTACACAACGGTGTTCCTGTATGCAGAATGTTACCTTTACCGAAGAATACAAGAAGCATTCGATTTAACGTTAGTGCTAACTGTAATAAACATAAGTGTTAAATCACTCTCATGAGGTAAACTAGTCAGTCGCTTTTTTTTTATTAATTTGTAGATGTAGCTTACGCGATTATGACATCTTTCGAAAGAAAAAAGATGATTCGTTAGTAAAAGCACACTATCCTATTATAGTTGTTTCCAAGTACATGAATGAGATTCAGGGTAAAACTAGCATTGGGGAGGATGAGCTGAGGAATGAGTTTTTCAAGTTGCTGAGGGTAAGGATAATTGATATATGTATAAATATATATATATATATATATATATATATATATACTAGCTGGCCCGGCAAATGTTGTTTTGCCTTACAAAATATTCTAGTATAAAATGTTTAGTAGAACTAGCTGTAAGTGAAATTCTGTCTTGAGGCAATTATGGCATCGTGCCTTAAGGCAAATTGCTGGAACCTCCCGTACCGTAACGAAATGTTCAAGGAATACTGAATGTTTTCTAATAGATTATTATAAATATTGTAACATTGTCTAATATTTAGATTTATATAAACCGAATTGCAAAGTTCAAATTATTTGTTTACAGTATATTAGAAATTTAGTCAGAATTAAAAATAAAATCTGAAATATTTTCAATATTCAAAAAACTAAAAAAAAAAAAAAAAAAAATGGGACAAAATTTTTCTTTCCAAAATCAATTATTTGGTTAAGACAAGCAGAAAGTTCTTTGAATCATTTAAATCGGACGCTTAGTTCTCTCAAAAATTGCCATTTTTCACATATTTAGCTCCGTATCTTCAAAATGGCTGGGCCTGCCTTTGCCAAAAACTAATAAACACTTCTCCCAATCATTACTAATTGAATGTTTTTTAGATCATTCAAATCGGATACTCTGTTCTCTCAAAACTTCGATTTCTATTTTCTGCACTCTTTGCTCCGTATCTCCGAAACGGCTGGACCTGCCTTTGCCAAAAACTAATCAGCTCTTTTCCCTATCAATAGGAATCGGATGTTTTTTGAACCATTCAAATCGGTTGATCCGTGCGCCCTAAAACGTGACTTGAAATTTGTATCCATACATACATACACACACACACACATCCATTTTTTCTGAGGTATGCCAAAATATTCAGAAACCTCCAAAACGTCGAGAAATGTAAAAATTTTCAATTTCGATTTTCGGCCCATTACAATAACTTACCCTACGGGAAGTTAAAAATAACTAACTGGTTGCAAATGTGGAGCTAACAAAAATATATGAACAGTTCACCCACTGCAAAGCACGCCACATATAAATGCCCCTTAATAATAGTCTTTGCAAAAGCAAACCGAATCTAAAACTGATTATATTTAAATTAAATTGGCACATTTAATGTTGCAAGATTTTGATATATTATTACGGCGCTTTATAATTAATTCAGTAATTTTTTAATTAGGGAAATATTTGCACTAATGGGAAAATGAGAGGGGCGAACAACCCTTCATAAAAAAATAAATTGTTTTTCTGTAAAATAAGGTCAGAAAAGCTTCAATTAAAATTGATATCCCAAAATTAAAAAACGTATTAGGATTGGACAACCCTTAATAATTATAAATTGTATTTTGAAGAAAAATTTATGCTCAGAAATCTGAACTAAACTTGAGTCAAAAATATACAATGACAAAAAATGATTAAATTACTAAAATGTATATAAAAAAATAGGATTTGGTGATAAAAAAGTAAAAACCTAGAGTTGTATGTATTTTTTAATGCCACATTATAAAAAAGCAGAAACAAAAAAAATTGTGCAAAAATTACTAAAAAGAAGTTAAGGGTGAACAACCCTTATTACTTGGAGGTATAAAAAAAAAATAAGACCTACTGAATACGGATATAAAATTTGGTAAAAATCGGTAAAGTCGTTTCTTACGAGAACGAACGTTGTAAATATACTCCTCTTAAACGATTATTCGGATATTGATAAATCTTTCTGAAGTTTGTTAAGGGATTTTTTTAGGATTTTCTGAATTAAAGAAATATAGTTAGATTGTAGAAATAAATGGAAAAAATTGCAAAAAACGACATGTCATGTTTGACATTGAAAATATTTTGACAAATGAGAACTGTTATTTGCCAGAAATTCTAATTTGTTTATGAATTTGCATGAAATTCTGAAATAAGATTCATCTTACTCTCAAGTTGAAAATAATTTAGACTCCCCGGTGAATGACACCCCTTCTCATTGGTGTAATTTTTGGTTTTTCAAAATAACGTCGGATATCGATAGAAGAACTAATTATAAGAAAAAATTGTTGTAAAAACCCATCTAGTGGCGAGGTGTAACATTTTATATAATCCACGCGGTTTTATAGTGTTCAAAATAAGCTTTTAAATGACTACTGTTAAGAGTCTGTTGTTTTTTCATTTAAATCAAATAGTTTTATGAGTGCCTTTTGCACCAAAATTACAATTAATCACATTTAATCTAATATCATATAAATTGGAACACAGTAAAAAGAATCACTGGGCATATGCTTTTTTCCTCTCCATTAACTGCAATAATTTTGTTGATCGTAGGTTGAATAGAGCACACGTGAACAGGATTTGACAAATTAATTCACTTCAAATATGAACTTAAGTAATAATGTATATTGAATTATCAGTGAGAAAAATGTAATTTAGATATTAAAATTACTGAAAGCCAGTTAAAATATGGTACGAAATTATAAAAATTATAGGCAACATTATTGAAGCAATTATTTTGGGTAGAAAAATCTAAGGTGATATTGTACCTATACCGCGGATACTATATATTAATTCTTTCTGAATTTGTTATACCTTTTAAAATACTTCAATTTCCAATACGTATATCTTATGCTATAAATCACAAAGGCAAACGATGAATTTTTGTCTGATAAATTTTGAAAATCAATGTTTGTCGTGAATAAACAAAAAATCATTCATTTATACATTCCCTTCTACAGACTAAAAAAATGTATAACCCTTGGCATTAAAATAAATTGAGCTATTGGAAATAAATTTGTTTTATAAATTGCAGTGTATAATTTTTAATATACAATTTTATTGAACATATTTTAATATTTGTTAAAGGGATAATTAAAGTGTTAACTGTGGGAATTGAGAATCATCTGATTTTATTTGAAGCAGTTCTACATTTAGCATCACTCATATATTGGTGTAAATAGTAATTCGAAAAACAATAATTATTATTTTTAACTGAACGGTAAATATTAGTATAGGATTATTTTTTTTTGTATCGCGAAGGAAATGCCTTTATGCATCCCAGACTGGTCTTTTGTCTGGGTGTGTCGGACTCTATACCGTCCTTGTATAATACTGACTAAAAGGACAGCGTCTGTCGGGTCATCTAGTATATTATATATATATATATATATACATATATATATATATATATGTTATAATATTTTTCTAGTTGAGTGTATGGGGCAACCGTTGCGACTTATCAATATCAGCAGGTGCTGATAATTCCCAAACTACAGATCCATTAGCATCCCTTATGGATCTAACCGACAAAGTAATCGTTGACGATTCCTTGATGATATGGAATTATTTAAATTGTGTCAGGAAAAATAATGATGACAATTGTGGCCAAACCATCATCGGTATGATAATCTACACATTAATACATATCGCAACAGATTCATTATAATAGGTTGTCAAATATCTCCCTTCCGCCTTTTTGTATTATAAACCAAGAGCAAAAAAGCGGAAGGGAGATATTTGACAACCTAATATTTATATTTATATTTATATTTATATTTATATTCATATTTATATTAATATTTATATAATTATATTTATATTTATATTTATATTTATAAATATTAGGTTGTCAAATATCTCCCTTCCGCCTTTTTGTATTATAAACCAAGAGCAAACTAGCTGTAAGTGGAATTCTGTGTTGAGGCAATTATGGCATCGTGTCTTAAGGCAAATTGCTGGAACTTCCCGTACCGTAACGAAATATTGTAACATTGTCTAATATTTATAAGAATTATATAAACTGAATTGCAGAGTTGAAATTATTTGTAAAGTATATTAGAACTATAGTCAGAATTAAAAATACAATCTGAATATTTTCGATATACAAAAAAAAAAAAAAAAAAAAAATGGAACAAAATTTTTTTTTCCAAAATCAATTATTTTGTTAAGACATGCAGAAACTTCTTTGAATCATTTAAATCGAACGCTTAGTTCTTTCAAAAACTGCCATTTTTTACATATTTAGCTCCGTATCTTCAAAATGGCTGGGCCTGCCTTTGCCAAAAACTAATAAACACTTCTCCCAATCATTACTAATTGAATGTTTTTTAGATCATTCAAATCGGATACTCTGTTCTCTCAAAACTTCGATTTCTATTTTCTGCACTCTTTGCTCCGTATCTCCGAAACGGCTGGACCTGCCTTTGCCAAAAACTAATCAGCTCTTTTCCCTATCAATAGGAATCGGATGTTTTTTGAACCATTCAAATCGGTTGATCCGTGCGCCCTAAAACGTGACTGGAAGTTTGTATCCATACATACATACATACACACACACACACACACACACACATCCATTTTTTCTGAGGTATGCCAAAACGTTCAGAAACCTTCAAAACGTCGAGAAATGTAAAAATTTTCAATTCCGATTTTCGGCCCATTACAATAACTTACCCTACGGGAAGTTAAAAAGCGGAAGGGAGATATTTGACAACCTAATTACATACATTGATTCATCGTCTATTTTTCCCTCCCAGATATAATTTTAGACAATTCCGGTTACGAGTTTTTCACAGACCTCTGCTTCGCTGATTTTTTGCTGGACAGAAAATTCGCCCACAAAATCAGATTTTATGTAAAAGCAATACCCTGGTATATATCAGATGTGACAAGTAGGGACTACCGTTTTGTGATAGATTCACTTTTATCCGATTGCGATCCTAATGTTAGTTGTCTGGGTAAACGTTTGACGACTTATGTGGATTCCAAAAGATTCGAAATGGTCGTTGATGAATTCTGGACGAGCCCTTATGAGTTTTCGAAGATGCAAGGATTGAATAAAGCTTTGTATGATAAATTGAGCCAGGCTGCTATCGCTATTTTCAAAGGCGATTTGAACCATAGGAAATTGTTGGCTGATAAAAATCGGCCTGTTGATACTGATTTTAAGACAGCTTTGGAAGGTAAGGGTAATAGATTAGTTGATAAAAGGTTAATTATTATTAATTTATTTTTTTAATTTTAGGTTTTCTTCCAACTGCCGTTTGTACTTTAAGGACCATAAAGTGTGATGTGATGTGCGGAATTGAACAGACGAAATTCGATGCAATAACATCGAAACACGAAGGAGAAGGTTGGATGGGCACTGGTGAATATGCAGTTATACAATGTGCTATGAAATAATTACAGCATTATTTTTTGGTATAATATTTGTTAAATGGATTTTAATGAATGTCTCGGAACCTATCCTCTGGGTGTTTAAGTGTTGAATGGTTTTTTTTATAAATAAATTTTTTTCTATGTATATATGTAATCGTTTTACTTATAGTCGGCTTCTTAAAACATACTTTTAGAGGGTGTTTATTAATCACTTGATCGAATTTTCAAGGATATTCAGAATAATCCCCTTCCCTCCGCCACCAAACATCACGTTACGAGAAAAAATTGATTTTTTTAAAGTAAAACTTCTTTAGGCGCGACTAGAGTGTTAATCTGTGAAAATGCAACGGAAGAGCGTAACGCTCGAGTCGAGTACGATTGCTTTGATTGTATGCATAAAGTGAAAATAATAAAACAAATGAAAAATCGATGCCGTGAACGAAACGTAAGTTTATTGAAGTAATTTGCATTATTTGAGGTTACTATATATTCTTAAGGTTATTAAAATGGGAATTATTTTTATTTTGGATTTTTTTAAACATGAAAACTAAGGTAAAAATATGAACAATTAGTTAAAAAAGTGTGTTTACAATTTGTGTTTCTTGCATCTGTGACTCAAAATATTTTCAATCATAATAAATGTACAATTTGATTCTTTGGCAAATTGAATATCGTCACGACTTTTAAAAGGATTCTACTGACAAGCAAAATAAAGTATGTAGAAAATACTTAAATACATAAAGGGACTCTACTGACGAGCAAACTGGACCTAGACATGGGACTAAAAAGGATTCTACTGACAAGCAAATTTTATTGCCGACAATCTAACTGACAAAAGGAGAATTTTACCGACTAGAAAATTAAATAGCAACGTAAAAAATATTAAAAAAGGACTCTACTGACAAGCAAACTGGTAATCGACACGAGTGTAAAAAGGATTCTACTGACTGGCAAGTTCTACTAAAGAGGACTCTACTGACAAGCAAAGTGATACTTGGTACGAGAGTAATAAAAGATCTCTGCTGAGTATCAAATTAAATATAAAGGACTATACTGACGAGCAAAGTGATGCCTAAATGAGCAAAGAAGAGAACTTTCCTGACTGGCAATCGCACAAATATCAAAATAGGACTTTACTGACGCGAGATTAAAAACAATTCTACTCTCTAGCAAACTTTACTAAAAAGGACCTTACTGACAAGCAATCCGATAATCGAGTAAAAAAAGAACTCAACTGACTATGAAATCAAATAACAAGGAATAAAATACAAAAAAGGACTCTACTGACAAGCAAATTAAATTTCATCACGGAAGAAAAAAGAAAACTTTACTGTCTTACAACGTACAAAATACAGAAAAGGACTCTACTGACAAGCAAATTTATAATCGACACGAAAGCAAAAAAAGAACTCTGTCTAGCAAATTAAATATGACTACTGACAAGCAAACTGCTAATCAACACGAGAGCAAAAAGACAATTCTACTTTCTTACAAATTAAATAGCAACGAAGTAAATATAAAAAAGGACTCTACTGACAAGCAAAGTGCGGCACGAGAGTAAAAAAAGAACTCTACTGACTTGCAATCGTATAAAATACAAAAAAGGACTCTACTGGCTAGCAAACTAAAACTCGACACTAGACTAACAACAATTCTACTAAAAAGGACTCTACTGACAAGCAAAATGATACTCGACATGAGAGTAAAAAAAAAACTACTGACTCACAAATTTGTTGTTTATTTTTGAACAGTAAACCAGAAAATACATAAAAACAGTGAGTTTACACTAAGATGGTTTAGTTTAAGTTAGTTGTTTATTCTCGACGTTTCGGAATTACACATGTCCCATCTTCAGTAAGGTCTCGGTTTCGCCGGGACAATCCCAGAATTCCACCCTTGTGTCCCTGATTTTTCTAAAATCAATGTTTGTCAGGATTTAGATCTATGTCTCGGAATTTGTACCCATCAAATATTTGAAAATGTTATTTACAACTAGTATGCTTATATAAGAAAGGCAAGTTAAAATAGCCTACCACCCTCCAATTTTAAATTTCTATTTTCAATTTTACGAAAATCAACAAAAATTATGAAAAAGAACTTCTTGACTACTTGTAGTAATTGCTAATTATTTTTAAATAGTTATGAAAAAAATTGAACAAAATTTTATATTAATTTTGGAAGCTGAAAAAACCCAGATCCAAAAATATAAGATATAATATAACAATAAAATGAGCATATAACGGAATAATGAAATTCTTAGTAAGTAATTCTGATTTTAAAAAAATCTCATTCAAAAAAACAGATTTTTATTACATTCTTAAATCGTATTTGTTATATTAACATCATTAAATTTTTTAGCTTTCTTCCCTAACTACCGGATTAGCATAATTAAAAATTACCGACTCGTTTTAACTTGAAAAAAATATGGCTTTATATTAAAACAATTTATTTATATCAGTTACCCAACAATATTGTTTCATATAAAAAAATTGTTTTTGACTAAATAAAGCCTAATGATGGAACGTATATAGTATCCAAAACGTCTAGATTAAACAACTAAAAACTTACTATTTTTTTAAATTAATTTTTAGGATTTATTGTAAACAAACTTAATGATATATACTTAATATATATAAGATATATAAATGTAACAAAAACAAATATTTCAAAATACGAAAATGAAGTTATATTAAATAACTCGTTTATACTTATATACATATGAATATATATATATATATATATATATATTCAAAAATTATATTCACTCATCGAAAAAAGTTTCCTCCTCTTAACAACCCTAACATTCTCTCCCAGCGACTGCAGCCTCTCCTCCTTGGTACTCAAAAACTCTTTACCTTTCCTAGGAGTACACGTCGCCGACTTTCCACCAGCCCCTGCACTATTAACTTTCCTCGGAGTCTCCTGCGTCGCCAACGCTTTCACCTCGTACTCCTTCAGCTTACCTTCTAATTCCTGGATCCTTCTCTCGTAGAAATCGATGGAAAATGAATGCGAATTATTGTTGATGGTCATGTTGGAAATTTGCTGGTTCTTTTCCATTTCTCGAATTTGAGACTCGAGTTCCATGGTTTTTCTCTGGTAGATTGTCGAGTTGGCGGTGAAGCCTGCACGGGCGGCGGATAGTTCTTGTTTTAGAGACTCTTGGCGCTCGAGGGATAGACGGAGTTTTTCTTCGTAGTCGAGGACTAGTTGAGCAGACTGGGGGAAAAATAGATCTGTTTATTTGTTTTATACGTTTCGGCACTAGATATGTGTCATACAATATTGATAGAAACTGTGGTTGTGGGTTACAAATAACTCTACTTGAGTACTGACGTAATCAGTCGTCTTAAAGTCGTCGATAGAATTAAAATGCACTCTACTTTTTTTTTTTTTAATTTCAATAATTATTACAACTGCTAATTTATTAACATCAAGTAATATTGATAAATAATAACATAAATTTAAATAAATAAAAGAGCAAAGGATAAAATTTACATGAAAATCATATCCGTAATATGATTTAGTGTAAAATATAAGCAAATAATAATAAAAATAAAATTAATAAATAATATAAATAAAATTTCTGAATAATAAAATAATACTAGAAAAATAATAAAATATAACAAAATAACAATAATAGAAATAGTTAGATAATAATAATAATAATAATAATAATAATAGTAAATAAATGCACTCTACTGGCGAACAGAATGAATAGAAACTAGTGGTGTATGGCTTCGTGCCTTAAGGCAAATTGCTGAAACTTCCCGTACCATAATGAAATAATCGAAGTATGAAATTCAATATAATTATTTTTTGGTAATTAAGAACAAAAAGTCTTTACCCAAAAGCAATCGTTTCGTCAACAACAAGCACAAGGTTTTTTGAATCATTCAAATCGCATGCTTAGTTCTCTCAAAAACTGCAATTTTTTGCACATTTAGCTTCGTATCTCCGAATCGGCTGGACCTGCCTTTGCCAAAAACTAATCACCCCTTCTCTCCATCATTACGAATCGAATGTATTTTGAATAAATCTAATCGTATGCTCCGTTCTCTCAAAAACTCGATTTCAATTTTTTGCACTCCTTGCTCCGTATCACCGAAACGGCTGTAACTGCCTTTACCAAAAACTAATGAGCACATTAATATGAATCGAATATTTTTTTAATCATTCAAATCGGTTGATCCGTGCGTCCGAAAACGTCGACGAAAAATTTTATTCATATATACACTCACATCCATTTTTTCTGAGGTATGCCAAAATGTTCAGAAACATCTGAAACGTGAAGATATGCAAAAATTTTCAATTTCGGTTTTTGGACGATTACAATAACTAAGGGTAACTTAAGAGAAAAAAGCAACTTTTATAACAGGAGACCTGGAAAAAATAACTCTACTGGCGATCAAACTGAAATGAGAGGAAAAAGGAAGTCTACTGACGAGCAAACTGAATTGAAAGGAAAAGGAAACTCTACTAACGAGCAAACTGAAATGAGAGGAAAAAAGAACTCTACTGACGAGCAAGATGGGAAAAAAATCTTTATTATTATGTTGCTATTTTTTGGAATCAAAAATTGAAATAAGTGGGAAAAGAACTCTACTGACGAGCAAAATATGGATGAGCAAAAAGAACTCTACTGACGAACAAACTAAAAAATAAGTTTGCAAACAAATTGCAATAAGAGAGAGGTCTCTAGTGATCGAAATTGGGAACTCTAGACGAGCAAACTGAATCAAGAGACAAATGGACTCTACTGACGAGCAAAATACTGCTGGACAAAAGGGACTCTACTGACAAACAAATTAAAATAAGTATGCAAACAAATTGCAATAAGAGAGAGGACTCTACTGATCGGAAAAGAAATTCTACTGGTGAGCAAACTGAAATAAGAGAAAGAAGGAACTTTACTGACGAGCAAATATTGATAAACAAAAAGGACTCTACTAACGAACAAACTAAAAAATAAGTATTCTAACAAATTGCAATAAGAGGAAGGACTCTGCTGGTCGGAAAAGGGAACTCTACTGACGAGCAAATTGAAAAAAAAAAGGGACTCTACTGACGAGCAATATATTGCTGGGTAAAAGGGACTCTACTAACAAACAAATTAAAATAAATATGCAAACAAATTCAAAGGGAACAAAGGTAAAGGGAACTCTACTGACGAGCAAACTGAAATAAGAGGGAAAAGGACTCTACTGACAAGCAAATATTGATAAACAAAAAGGACTCTACTGACGAATAAAATAAAATAAGTGTATAAACAATTAGTAAAGAGTATTAGTAAAGAGCAAAGTGGGAAAAAGGAACTCTACTGACGAGCAAAATATCGATGAACGAAAAGGACTCTACTGACGAGCAAACTGAAATAAGAGAAATAATGTAATGATCAAATTAAAATGAGAAGAAAACCAAATAAAATAAAAGCATATACACACACTACTCGCGATCGATCTAAAATACAAAAAAGAAACTACTAAAATACTAAAATACGAAAGAAAGGAACTCTACTAACGTACAAAATGAAATGAGAGAAACTTCTTTGTCTATCCATAACCTTAAAAATTATCATTTCTTACCTTTCTGCTTTCGACGGCCTTCAATTCCTCCAATTTTTCCGCCAAATCGCTAACTTGTGCAAAACTCGTAGCCTTTGTTACTTCCAAATCAACAGCAGCATCCTGCATTTTCGTCTCCATTTCATTCTTCAACGCCGCCATTTCTTTGTCGCGTTCATTTTTCAAATCACTAATAACCTTTTCATATTTATCCACAACCTCCTGATGTTTATTCTCAATCCCTGAAGCACTTTCCAACTTCGATTTTAACTCTACAAGTTCTTCATCTCGGGATTTAATCAATTTTTCTAAACTCGATACGTTATCTTTCAAATTTGTTATGATGTTAATAAATTTTAATGAGCGGTTTCGTAATTGTTTTGCGTCCTGGCGCGATGATTCTAGTTCGTTGCGCAAAGTTTGGTTGTCGGTTTTTAAACTGTTTAGATGTTTTAAAGTCGATGTGTATATTGTTCTGATGGCTGTTGTGTCCTGTATTACTTTCCGGAGATCCGGATCGAGAAGAGATTGCGACATTTTTGAAGGATAAAGGACTCTTTTTTGTGACAGAAGGTGAACGGAAGCCATTTTGAATCGTTAGCTGTCAGGGTAAAGTTTAATAATAATAATAATAATATTTTAAACAATGATTTAGTTTATTATAGAACTAAATAAATGAAAATAAATTAATAAAAATTTAGGTGCAAGTGGTATTTAGCTTTAAAGTTACTAGCAACCAGGTATACTTTAAAATTATGTTTTGTTAAATATAATTTTCAAAAGCATACAACTTCATGCCAAACCAAGGATCAACGAAAAGATTTTTTTCATAAATACATATTTTTGTTCATATTTCTATTTACCTTAAGGCAGATTAACACTTACACCTAGTTTACAATATAAATATATATTTAGGTAATTTATTTACTTTTAATTCCAAATATAACGAGTCAAATCAGTCAGTGAAAGCTGTCATCCGCCATTGTTGCGCAACTGTGACCTGTCAATAATATTTTAAACAATTAATTATTTTGTTATAGAGTCTAATAAATCAATTAAGTGCAAATGTTATTTTGTCTTAAAGCAAGTTTAATTCTACTAGCCAAACGTATACTTAATAATTATATTTTGCTAAACATAGACAAATAAGCATGTTGTTAAATACAACTTCATACCAAACCAAGTATCAATCAAAATATTTTTTTATAAATACATATTTTTGTTCATATTTATATTTATCTTGAGGCAAATTATCACTTACACCTAGTTTACAATAAACATATATATTTATGTAGTTTATTCTTTACTTTTAATTCGAAATATAACGAGTCAAATCAGTCAGTGAAATCTGCCATTGTTGTGCAACTGTCACCTGTCAATAATATTTTAAACAATTATTTATTTTGTTATAGAGTCTAATAAATCAATTAAGTGTAAATGGTATTTTGTCTTAAAGCAAGTTGTGATTCTACTAGCCACACGTATACTTAAAAATTATATTTTGTTAAACATAGACAAATAAGCATGTATTTAAATATAGTTTTCAATAACATACAACTTCATACCAAACCAAGTATCAACCAAGAGATTTTTTTATAAATACATAAATACATATATTTATTCATATTTCTATTTACCTTAATGCAGATTATCACTTACACCTAGTTTACTGTATACATATATATTTATGTAGTTTATTTACTTTAAATTCAAATTATAACGAGTCAAATCAGTCAGTGAAAACTGTCATCCGCCATTGTTGCCCAACTGTCACCTGTTGCAAAATGTCAAAACACAAATGTTTTGAAAATTTTATAAACCAATTTTATAATTAGAATGACTTGAAAAGTGTAAATATATTTATATACTATGCCTGTAGTGTTAGGTGGTGGTATAAGCGGCTTATCAGCCGCTTATTACTTGACCAGGAATAAAATAAATAAAGTGCAAGTCTTAGAAGCATCTCAAAGAGTCGGAGGCTGGATTAGATCGAATATACACGATGATTTTATTTTTGAACACGGTATAACCACATGTATTTTTATTTCTAACACAACTATTTTTATTTCTATTGTTAACTAAGTTTGATTTGTAGGTCCAAGAACCCTCAGACCATCTGGCATATCTGGTAAAAACACTTTGAAACTCTTACAAGAACTAAATATCACCCACCTGATTATGCCGACTAAATCAACCGACCCGGTATCTCGTAATCGTATGATTTATGTCAATAAGAAACTTCATAAGTTGCCTTCGAGTTTGTTATATCTATTCCGTAAACAAGAACCGTTCACAAAGCCTTTGATTTACTCTTTATGGACAGAATTTGTGACACCATCAAAGGTTAACAGAAAAAATGATGAGTCTATATATGATTTTGCAAAAAGACGTTTTGGTAAAGAAGTTGCAGACTTTGCAATAAGTCCTTTGATTTGTGGTATTTGTGGAGGTGATGCTAAAGAAATCAGCGTTAAACTAATTATGAAAGATATGTTTCAAAATGAACAAAAGCATGGAGGTATAATCAAAGGTATGCTTTTAGATATGTTGAAGTTTGATAAAAATAAAGACAAAGTGGATAATGAGTTGATAAAAAAGGCTCGTGAGGAAAAGTGGAGTTTGTATTCTTTAAAAGGCGGTTTAGAAATGTTGCCTAAAGCTTTATGCGAGCATGTTAAAGCTAAAAACACTGAAATAAGTTTAAAAGCAAATATCACACAACTAGAATTCCTACCTAATTCAGCAAAAATTGTTGTCAATGGTGACACAGAAATAAAAACAGATCATATCATCAGCTCTTTACCAGCAAACCGTTTAGCCGTACTACTAGGTGATCAGCACCCACAATTATCACAAGAACTTAAACAAATCCCTTTCGTCTCTATTGCTGTTGTAAATCTAGAATACGATTGCGAGGTTATAAATGAGAAAGGTTTTGGCTTCTTAGTGCCTCCACAAGAAAACCTTCCAATACTCGGTGTCATATTCGATAGTTGTCGTGTCCCAACACCTGGTAAAACTATTTTAACCGTGATGCTGGGTGGTAGATGGTTTAGGAAATATTTTGGATTGTATCCGACAAATGATTTGTTATACACGGTTGCAGAGGCGCACACAACGAGTATTTTGAAACTTAAAGCTCTGCCTTCGAGATATTTTGTTAATGTTTTGGATGATTGTATTCCCCAGTATTTGGTGGGGCATAATGATCGGGTTCAGCGTATAAGGAATTATATTAAGGATCATAATTTGTGTTTGTCTGTTTGTGGGTCTTCTTTTGATGGGGTTTCGGTTAATGATTCTATACTGTCTGCCAAAAATGAAGTGGAGACATATATGGAAAAAAGAGTTGTATAAAGTAAATTTTGTATTTATTGTATTATGTGATAAGGTTTTATAAAGGAGATATATAAATATTGAACAAATTGTGTTGATTTTTATTTATATTATTTTGTATTTAATGTTCTAATATCGTTTTCGAAACTAAACACAAAAATTCTATTCATTTACATCATATATTATATTTCACAAATTTACATTTTAAATTTTGAATTCTAACGGTTTTTATTTTAGCCATTTTGACGTTTCTTCTTCGTGAAGTTGACAGTACATCCAAAACTTAACCTAAAAATTTTAATACACTTTTACAAGTTGTGTGCAAATGAATAATTTTGATAAATAATATTATAAATAAATAAAAAGTGTTAATTTGATTTAAATATTGTGTATAAATATAAGGATAAATGTTTCCGTTATTATAATTAAGGATAACTATAAATCAACAAAATGAAGTAAGAATTACTAAATGACTACCTATAAGTTGCATTTTAGTTGTAAAAATATATTTATTATATTAAATCATATATTTTTCATGTATTTTATATAAAAGTAATTGAAGCAGCATATAAAATGCTTTTGTAGATGTACAATTATTATAAAAGTCATTTTTTATCTAAATATCCAACGATACACTTAACATTAAAATATTGAATGTGTATATATATATATATATATATATATATATATATATATATGCTATAGTGATAAGTTCAGTTACGATGCTAAGTTTCTGTTTTATTTTTAGGTTGAGCGTGGAAGGCCTAATCGTATACTTTCCATACGATTACATTTATCCTGAACAGTATGCTTATATGTTGGAACTTAAAAGAGGCCTGGATGCCAAGGTATAAGTACTATACAATCTTCTGCACTTTTGTCTTGTAATTGTTTTTAATAATACCAGAAAAGAACTTTAATCGGTATAAGTATTATAGATACAATGTTCTGGTTTAAGTTAGAATGACTTAATTACCGAAGTTCTATATGTATATAACTTTTTTTTTACACTTTTATCTTGTATATGTTGTTAATAATATCATAAAAGGTTTTTAATAAGTATTAATATCTTCGATACAATTTTTCTTGTTTTAATCTAACCTTCTTGACACAACTTTGAAATGACTTAATTACAAAAGTGTAATATATAAATAACTTTTTTTTACACTTTTATCTTGTTATTGTTTTTAATAATATCATGAAAGATTTTTAATAGATATAAATATCTTCGATACAATTTTTCTTGTTTTAACCCAATCTTTTTGACACAACATTGGAATGACTTAATTATTGAAGTGCTATATGTATAGAACTTTTTTTTACACTTTTATCTTGCAATTGTTATTAATATAGGGTATGTCATCTAACATTTTTCATTTTCATTTTCATTTTTTTTTCAATGGTCAGATGAGGCTTTTTTTCTTCATTTTTTAATTAAATTATTAACTGCATTAATTTCATTATTAACTGAAAGGATTGTACTTTCAAATAGAAAAAGAAATTTTAGAAAATATTCAGTAGTTTGTAAAAAAAAAATAAAGTTATTTGGCGGACTCTGTAATATCATATAAGATTTTTAATAGATATAAATATCTTTGATACAATTTTTCTTGTTTGGAACCTAACCTTTTTGACACAACGTTGAAATGACTTTTAATTTTAAAAGTATTGTAAATAACTTGTAAAAATATTTATTTTAATCTTTACCCAAGTAATCTTGAATGTTTTGAGAATTTTAAATTATTTACAATACATCAATATGTAATTTAATACATTCATTCTTATCCCATTAAATAAATTTACATCCTAAAGTTTATATAAAATCTTATTAACTATATTTACTTATTTTATTACATTTTATTATTTATTTTATTCCAGGGTCATTGTCTATTAGAAATGCCTTCAGGAACAGGCAAAACAACAACTCTGCTATCTTTAATCGTGGCTTATATGATTGAAAACCCACATTCTGTAAGAAAATTAATATATTGTTCTCGAACTGTTCCTGAAATTGAAAAGGTTGTACAAGAATTGAAGAATCTTTTTGAGTATTATGAAAGTTGTACCAAAGAAACTTTGAATTTTACTGGATTGGTTTTGAGCTCTAGGAAGAATTTGTGTATACATCCTGAGGTAAGAGAAATATATAACTACATATATTTATATATTAGGGTGGTCCTTAATATGGACATTTTCGAATTTCTTTGCTCCCAAGGGCTCAAATGATTCCAAATTAATTTAAAAAAAATCTCTAAAAGTTTTAGCTCCCAATATTAATATGTAGATAGTCCACAATTCAATTAAAAGTTTCTTATATTCATTATTACCATATATCATTAAGTAAATTCTTGCGCCATCTGTGATAGCAGACTTGTAATTTTGATGGCAATTTATTACTGAAAATTTGAGTGTCAAAATCACCAATTAAATAAATATTTTGATGCAAAATTAATCTTGAATAAATATTTCATTAAACAGTCCACATGGATTTAAATAGAGCTTAAGTGTTTTATAAATATTTTTAATTGCCATAAGATTTGAGTTTACAAATGCTATCACAGATGGCGCAAGAATTTACTTAATAAAAATACGAAACATTTAATTGAATTGCGGACTATCTAAATGTTAATATTAAGAGCTAAAACTTTTAGAAAATTTTTTTATATTGATTTGGAAGCATTTAAGCCCTTGGGAGCAAAGAAATTCGAAAATGTCCATATTAAGGACCACCCTAATATATATTTTAATATTTTACAGGTTAGTAAAGAACGTGAAGGTAAAATTGTCGATGGAAGATGTCATTCTTTAACAGCTAGTTATGTTCGTGATAGACATAATGTTGATGAAAATACACCTATATGTAAGTATTCAAAATATCATTTACATTTAGTTACATTGAAATTATTATAAATACGATTATAATTTGTAATTAACATAAAATAAATATTATTAGTTACAAAATTAAAGTATTTTATAATTCGCCCTTCAAAAAGCAATCAATCACAACAATCATTGAAAAAAACATTGAAATTATTAAACTGTGACTAAAATCTTATTATAATTACCTTAGATTTATAATTTTTGCCACAGATTCTGATTATGCAAAATTCTGTCTATTTATTATTATTGTTATTATTTATTTTTTTTTTTTCAGGTGATTACTATGAAGGTTTCAGTCTTGAAGGAAAAGAGTCTCAATTGCCGAATGGAGTTTATAGTTTAGATGATCTCAAACAATATGGACAGAATAAGAGCTGGTGTCCATATTTTTTAGCTAGATTTGCGGTAAGATAAACATATATATATATATATATATATATATATATATATAACTGAATTAAATGTAAATATTAACTAATAGAAATGAAATATGATAGGGCTTAATTCTGAATAACTGAAGTTTATTTATTACAATCATGGGGTGTAAAAATAGAACAAATGCGCTTTACTCCATATTAGTGTTTTCAGCATATCACAGATGGCGCTAGTGTGCTTCAAATTCTGCATTTTAAAAAAAAAAATAGTTTATAGTTTCTTTAGATTTCACGCACTTCAGACGTTCAAGTGCAAATTTTATATATTGAAATATATCTTTTTTGAATGAAAAAAATATTATATATTTTTACAACATATTTGTGATTTTGTTGAAATTATATTTTATACGCGTATATTTTGTTCTCATTTCGTTTAGTCATTGTACATTTAAATAAACTTATCTTAAAATTAAACCTAAGGGTAAATTTACGTGCTACGATTGGTGGCGTCCTCTATGATATGCGGAAAGAATTAAAATTGTTGTAATTTCAAAGCGACCGCGTTTGCGATCTATTTATACTTGTTTATCTATTATTACAATAGTGCAGTAGTCTGCACCTAGGCAAAATTTATCATAAATGATCATTATTCAAGATATTTTATCTATTTATAGATATTTTATATTTTATACTCTAATTTAATTGTTCTCATTTCATTTAGTCAAATTAATCTGGTTTATCTTATCTATATTATATATTTATGTAAATCTTATCCTAGAATTGAACCTAAAGGTAAATTTACGTGCTACGGTTGGTGGCGACCTCTATGATATGCTGAAAGAATTAAAATTGATGTAATTTCAAAGCCATCGTGTTTGCAACCTATTTATACTTGATTATCTATGATTACAATAGTACAGTAGTCTGCACCTAGGCAAAATTAATCATAAATGATTATTATTTAAGATTTTTTATCCAAATAAGATCTTTGCAAAACAATATACAGTTCTCATTAATTTAAACTATTTCATTTATTAATCTAATTATTTTTTATGAGCTAACTTTTACTTTTACTCTACCATAAGTCCTACATATGTAATTACATAAATTTTTGCTAGTACCAGTATTTTTTATTATAATATAGAGAAGTTATTATATAAATGAATTTCTATTTCAGATATTGCATGCTCAAATAGTCGTATACAGTTACCATTATCTGCTAGATCCAAAAATTGCTGATGTCGTCTCGAAAGAACTTGCTAAAGAATCTGTTGTAGTTTTTGATGAAGCTCATAACATAGGTAAACATTTTATATATAGAAATCTTAACAAATAAATTTAAAACAAACATAAAATTAATATATTAATTCAATAGTTGAATTTGAAAAAAGAAAACAAACATATTCTAACAGATACTTTCTTATAAGATTTCTATAAGTTTTTTTAATTGAAAAAATGTTCAAAACATTTTAAATTGTTGTAAATGTGCAGAATGTTTCTAATGATTATCCTTTTATTTGATAATTTGTTTATTTCTAGATAATGTTTGTATCGATTCTATGAGTGTTAGAATAAATCGAAGAACTATTGAAAGGAGTACGGCCAGTTTGCAAATTTTGGAGAAGACAATTGCAGAGTAAGAAATTTTTATTTATTTTATTTATTACAGTTAAAAGTTAATGAAACAAACATGTAAATATAATTAAGTATTAGTAAACCATAAAATCCATTATTACTTTTTTTTTTATTAAGCACCAATAATTAAAATAATACATATTCTTATAAATATATATTATTATATTATGTCGATCTGATATTCAAATTTTGTCTAGAAAAGAATTTTGTGACAATTGTGATTTTATAATTATATACATAATGAATAAATATAAATTAAGCAATGAAAAAATTACCACAATTTTGTTAATGATCCTATAATATTTTTGTAAAGTTCAAATTTTTATTTGTTATAGTAAATATATATTTTTTTGATTTAATTTCTATGAATGTATGAATGTAAGTTTTATTTATGATATCTATTTTTTTTTTAGAATGCGTGAAGATGATGCAAAAAGACTGACCGATGAATATCAGAGATTAGTGCAGGGTTTAAAAGATGCAAGTGTTGCTCGAGAGACTGATTTGGTTTTAAGTAATCCTGTACTGCCGGACGAAATTCTCAAAGGTACGATTATATATAAATATATTATAAAATTTAAATATATTATAAAACATTATTAAGACGCTCCTTTGGGACATACATCGTGTAGTCGTTATAATTATACTTGTTAACTTTCCGTAGAGTGTTATAGTAATGGGCCAAAAATAGAAAATTAATTTTTTTCTTCGCATATCTTCACGTTTCAGAGGTTTCTGAACATTTTGGCATACCTCAGTGTGTGTTTTTCTGGTCCACATTTTTTCGTTCACGTTTTCGGGCGCACGGATCATGCTGATTAGTTTTTGGCAAAGGCAGGTCTAGCCGTTTCGAAGATACGAGGCAAAAAGTGCCAAAAACAGTAACTCAGTTTTTAAGAGAACGGAGCGTCCGATTTTAATAATTCAAAAAACATTGTATTTAAAGAGAAGAACTGAATTTTTGAGAAGGCAGGTTTAGCGGATTCGGAGATCTAGTAAAAAAAAAAAAATATGCCTTTTAGCGACCAAAAATGATCATTATTTAGCAGATTAATGAAGTTTTTATCAGCCTAATTATTTTCTTTAGCAACTTTATGAATTTTCTAGCAGATTCATAATTTTTTTAGTAAATTAATGTTTTTTTTAGCCATTCATTATTTTTTTTATAGTATTAATTATTTCGTTTAGCAGATTTATGAGTTTTTTATCAGTTTAATTATTTTTTTAGCATATTTATGATTTATTCAGCAGATTAATTGATTTTTTAACAGCTTATTAATTTTTTTTTTAACAAGTTTATGAATTTTCTAGCAGAATCACGATTTTTTGTTAGCAGATTTATGATTTTTATCACAAACTAGAATTTTAGTTGCAAATTATTTTTTTTATTGAAATTTTTAGCATTATTTAGCTTATTATTGAAATTTTTAGCAGATCCTTGAAAAATATAAATATAAATATAGAATAAAAAAAATTTAGGATTATAATGAATTTTATCGGTTTTAATGACTAATGAAAACTTTGATAGGATTTTAAAAATCTTGTTAGATTATTCAATTTTATAATGAAATATTTTGACATATGCACATCAAATTATCAGATATTTTATGGAGATTTTAACACTAAGTATAAATTTTGTTTACATTCCTATGGGTTCCGTACCAATGCTTATCCGTTAGACGGCGGCGCGGCGCTTATGCGCTTCGTTATTTCGTCTCTATGCAGTTACGATTGCTTTGAAAAAAGTTCAGAATTTCTAAAATATTTCAAAATAAAAAAACATTTTTTCTCAAAAAAGTCAATTTTTTCAAAGATTAAAAATTTATCAAAAATCAAATTTTTTCGAGGTTTAAAAAAAAATTAATCTTATTTGAAAAAATAATTTTTGGTACGGTAAGTTCCAGCAATTTGCCTTAAGGCACGATGCCATACACCACTAGTTCTAAATCTAAATACTGAAACTCCATTCTTTATCCTGAAAACATAAATTCATAATTTCAACTAATAAAAGATTAAATTTGTTCTTAAATTATATTTTACATATACAAAATAATCATATATATATATATATATATATATATATATATATATATATACAATTGCATTAATGATTTCTCAATCCCCAGTCATAAACATATGTACATCCTTATTCGAATGTGTCAACTGTCCAGCCCTCTCCGTTCCAACGATACCAGCCACTTGCAATAAATCATGTTTCGTGAACAAAATCGTAACAGTCATATTATTATCAACACCAGTCTTGCGATTCTGGTTAGCTTCCTGCATCAAATTGCACATCTCAGAATAAAAATGTGGCCATCCTGGAGGCTGATAGAAAATTATATGTCTTATCCCTTTGATACGAGATCTTCTGAAATAGTGTGCTCGTTCTGAATACAGCATTATGGGGGCTATACCGTGGAAGAACATGTCTCTTGCTCGTGCCATCTTGGAGTCTTTCGTGTACTCGCAGATTTGTGTGAAGTTTATTTCTTCGCGTTTGAAATAGTTGCGTAAACGTACGTAGTCGAAGTAGTCGGGGATGTATAATAAACACTGGGCCATTGCAGGGCTCCGGTACTGCCCCAAGACTTTTTTGGTGAAATAGTTAAAACGTGCGTCAATAGCTTCAGCAGCTGTAGCACAAGTTATTCGATGGAATACTTGAGGTAATGTGACTACAACTTCGCGTATGGAGCCTCCGATTACAGGATTTACTACACGTACTGAGCCCCTGTAGTTGGAGCACCGTCCACGTACAAAAGCACGCAACTGTGGTATATCGTGTGATGATAAAAGTATGGTTTGTCTGTACAATCGGGTGTGACCATTCAAAGCCCACATGCGTACACGTGCAAAATCTGTATCGTGAGACTCTTTTGGTTGTAAATGCATGTGCTCCATTGTATGGAGAATGTGATCCCAATTCTGGGCTAAAAATACGTCTGCTTGGTCCATTACAAGTAGTTCTACGGATGAAAGAAAGTCGTAGTCTCTGTGAGACTCTCCGGGTGCACCTACGGACATACGTAGACCCAAGGGGGACGCGATTATAATATCAGAACCGTAATAATCAGCGTACAGTTTTATACTTTTTTTGGTAACCGCCACGCCGAGTTTAAACGTATCGTCGGTGTTTCCTGTAAACAACTGTTCGTAGTCTTCGGGTTTGGGGTTGTGTTTAGGAAAAGCTATACTTTCACCCCCGTACTCTTGCTCAAACCGTAAACTATTTTGCACACCTCCACCTCTATTCGGGACAAGCAAATTTGTTAAAATTTTAACAATTTTTAAAGCACTATCACGAAATGGTACGACAATCAAAATCCGCGGCCTCACAAAACCTTGATCTCTAAACCGATCAGGAACTTCATTCTTGTTTTGCAAAATTTTGGAATTATGGTGCAAAACTTTAGTCCTGGTTTTAAGCGCGTGATTTAAAACATGCAAACAATACGTGTACCTCACTTCTTCACCATTTTGTAAAGTGCGGTTAGGATAATACAAATCTTGGTAATTATTCATTATAGAAAACAGTTCCGATTGTAAAGGTGTTACTTCTTTTACCACATGTGGTATCAATTGTTGTTTCAAACCAATTTTTAACCAGTCTAATTTATTTAAATCAATACGTTCAGGCTTTGTGCCTTCTGTTGCATACGTAACATCATCGTCAAGGGTTTTAATGGTTTTATCAACCGGTTTATCACATGTTGGAATATCTACAAATAACTTACCCAGCGCAGGCCATGTTAATTCATGATTTGATGATTTTACAGGTTTATTTGACAAGATATTTAGTAACTCCGGGCTTAATTCGTGATCTAGGTGCATGCTGAAGTTGTCGGACGCTGGTAAATCTTCCGTAGCATCTGCAGAACCTGGAAGATCAATTTTTTCTTGGGTTTCTTTATTATCTGATTCATCGTTGTCTGAGTGCATTTCAGCATCCTCGTTATCTTCTAAATTATCATCTTTGTTATCTTCATCAGACATATCTTCGTCATCTAATTCTTCATCATCTAAGTTTTCGTCATCTAAATTTTCGTCATCATCAGAATCACTCCCAATGGAGTCTTCATCAGAACTGCAAGCCTTACTGTCCTTTACCTCTCTATTATTAAAAGACGAAAGAAGCATATTCAATGGATTTTCAACCTGCTCCTCCTCAGAGCTATCACTTTGCTGATTTTGTATTTCTAAGTCTCTCATGCGTTGTTTTTTTAACCTTTCCTCAGCCTCTTGGTTTTGCACTTTTGCCAAAAATCTTGAACTGTGTTTGTTTTGATTTTGCTTCTGTTTTGGTTTCGATTTACCATTATGTCGTTTGAATTTTGATTTATTTGGTTTGTGTTTGGAATTTGTATTTTTGCCACGAAATTTAGAACCCATTGTTAAATATTAATTATTTTGATTTTAGCACATGGTAAGATCTGTCAAACTTAACCTCAACTTTGTGTTTATATAGAACAACAAATATGGCGGGTCGACTGTCATTGTTTGCGATGGCAGCGCTGCTAGCGGATGTATCTTGAAACATTAAAGGAAATGCATTAACATGATAAATGATAATTTAAATTTTAAGTAGTAGTGTATGGCATCGTGCCTTAAGGCAAATTGCTGGAACTTCCCGTACCGTAATGAAATATTCGAGAAATTTTAAACGTTTTCAAATATATTATTACAAATACTGTACCAAATCAAATGTAAATCATATAACAATTTATCTACAGAACATTAACAATCGTCATTTCATTTCGAATTCAATTTAAAAAAAAAATAGTTGCCTAATTTACACAAAATTGAAAAAGTGCTCCCGTATAGTCACAGTCTAAACGCATTTGCAAATCATTCTGTGCGACATTTTCACTTACACTGTGCTTAGCTTGGCGGCATTTTCACATTTTTAAATAGTTTTCACAAAATTGAAAAAGTACATAAACAGTCTAAACGCACATGGGTAAACATTTGTAAGAGAGTGGCGCTCAGACTGTGCTTAACCTGGGTAGTTTTTTGTATTTTTAATCCAAAATTACAAAAATATTTTTTGAAAAAAAAAATTAGAAACAAAAATTTTTTTTCCAAAAGCAATTATTTTGTTGAAACAAACAGAAAGTTCTTTGAATCATTTAAATCGGGCTCTTAGTTCTCTCAAAAACTGCCATTTTTTAACATTTTGCTCTGTATCTCCGAAACCGCTGGGCCTACCTTTGCCAAAATCTAATAACCACTGTTTCCCGTCATTACGAACTGAATGTTTTTTGGATCTTACAAATCGATCATACAAATCGCCGATCATACAATTCTCTCAAAAACTCGATTTCAATTTTCTGCACTCTTTGCTCTATATCTCCGTAACGGCTGGACCTGCCTTTGCCAAAAATTAATCAGCTTATCTCCCTACTAATAGGAATCGAATGTTTTTTAAACCATTCAAATCGGTTGATCCGTGCGGCCGAAAACGTGGACGAAAAATGCGGACATACAAAACACACACACATCCATTTTTTCTGAGGTATGCCAAAATGTTCAGAAACCTTTAAAACGTCGAGAAATGAAAAAATGTTCAATTTCGATTTTCGGCCCATTACTATAACTACCCTACGGAAAGTTAATAATGTAATTAAGTATAAGAATATCTAATCAGAAAGTTACACACTAAAACAATACTAATATTACCAATTCCCACAATTTTCTACTATCAGATTTTTATTATTGTACATTACTTGTTTTTCTCTATTAGAAGGATATAATTTTACGAATTGAATTTAGCATATTTTTGAACAAATTTATAATAACATATTCCTTTTTCATTTGCAGAAGTCGTTCCTGGTAATATAAGAAACGCAGAACACTTTGTAGGATTCTGAAAAGATTTGTCGAATACATCAAAACCAGGCTTCGGGTGCAGCATGTCGTGCAGGAATCACCAGCAGGTATACTACATTTTTTTACAAAAAAATTTCTTAAACATAATACAGAAACTATTTATTATCTTTTACCTCAGGTTTTCTCAAAGACATCCAGTCAAAAGTATGCATCGAAAGAAAGCCTCTGAGATTTTGTGCAGAAAGACTCGCTTCTCTGCTTCGGACTCTGGAAGTGACGGATATGACTGATTTTGGAGCCCTGGTTTTGATCACACATTTAGCTACATTGGTTTCCACGTATACACATGGATTTACTATTATTGTTGAACCATTCGATGATAAGACTCCGAATGTTTCGAACCCGATTTTGTATTTCAGGTAAGGGTAAAAGTTATAATAAACTAGTGGTGTGTATGGCATCGTGCCTTAAAGTTTCAAGTCCGTTAAAAACTATTACTACTACTATATTCTTTTACCGGCTGTATCTTTAAAACGACTTCGAATTTTCTAAAATCGCTTTACTACCGTATTCTAGACATGTTAAGGGAGCAATTTATGAAAAAAAAAGATCGATTTTTTCAACCCATCACATAGGAAGACCCCCTTAAGGCAAATTGCTGGTACTTCCCGTACCAGAATTATATATTTGAGGGAAAAAAATCAGTAATCAATAAAAATTGATCAATGATTTTATTTTAAATATATTTTAAATATATTATTATAATCACTATATATTTTATCGTTCATAAAATATACAGTGACGATCTTATCGCTCAAAGCAATTGAGAATGTTTACAGTAGCAAGAGGTGCCGAGTGAATCCATCTGAGGATATAATTCTTACGATTAGAATAATGCACCGAATTGTAAATTTAACTTTTTCCACTCGCGAATTGCGAGATTTATATGAATTTTGTCGCCGGAGCGGCGGCATCCGAATCAAAAGGGTTGAATTTAATATTTGAAGTATACAAATTTGCATATTTTTGAAAATTTTGAATTTTTTCGGAAAATTTTGAAATTAGCTTGAACCCTATAAGTAAACTTTAAACTTTGTACGGAACCCAACAAAATTGTAACAAAAAAACGTGTACTAATTTTCAAAAACTTTATCAAATATCTGATACTTTGATGTGCATACGTCTAATATTCATTTTTGACCACCAAATATCTTTTTTTTTACTTTTTCCTCTGTATCTCCAAAACCTCTTCACCTGCCTTACCAAAATTTCATCAATTTTTCATTTTGTCATTACAAGTAAAATGTTTTTTGATTCATTCAAATCGGGTACTCCGTTCTCTCAAAAACTGAATTACCGTTTATGACACTTTTTGTCCTGTATCTCCAAAACGGCTAGACCTGCCTCTGCCAAAAACTAATCAGCACATCTCCCTATCGATAGGAATCGAATATTTTTTGAATCATTCAAATCAGTTGATTTGTGCGCCTGAAATTGTGGACGAAAAATTGTATCCAAAAATACATACATACTACAGACATACACACACATCAATTTGTTCTAAGGTATACCAAAATATTCAGAAACCTCTGAAACGTGAATATATGCAAACATTCTCAATTTCGATTTTTTTGCGATTATTATAACTTACCCTACGGGAAGTTATTTAATAATCTAGTTGAGTTTGTGCAACTTGCCAATAGGCTTTTTTGGTACAGATTTATGCATGTGATATATCATTTAAAAGGGCTCGAAGAGGAGAATACGAATTTAATATTTGTTATTAATTTTCATCATCGTGTAACATGACTTCCTTAAAATTCATATTAACTGCAAGTGCAACTTGCCTCAAGGCAAATCCCGAACACTAATTTGCATGTGATATATCATTTGAAAGGGCTCGAAGAGTAGAATACGAATTTAGTATTTGTTATTAATTTTATATTATCGTGTAACTTAATTCTTTGAAAATTTGAGAAGGAAGTATAAAAATTATGAAATATCACCTTCGAAGGATAATAGGCTCTTTCTGTTTAACTTTCGAGGAATATTTAACAGTACTATTACAGGTGGAAGCAATTCTTAATTCACGTCCTCTTATGGCAATAACAGATGATGTTTCTAGTTTTCAGTAGTTATCGCCTAGTCATTTTTTGATTGGATATTTTTTAACTACAATTCCAGAACCAAATTTTGAAAAATTAAATTCTTCAACGATGTATAAGCAATTAACTGCCATGCTAGATAAATTTTGGATTTTATGGTCAAAAGATCATTTATCTTATTTGCAAAAACGAAATAAATGGTCAGATAATCAGCCAAACTCGATAGTTTAAATTGTGGTAACTTTAAAAGTCAACAAACGTCAATTTTTGCATAGAATGCTGGGTAAGAGAGCTTTACATCTATGAAAATAAAACACAGTTTGCTCAAAATCATCGTATATTCCAAAGATTCCTTTATCTAATCGACAATTCTAATCGGTACACTAATATCAGGTCCATGTGAAGGTCTAGAAGTGACCGTCAACGTCTGGTTAGACTTCGAATATTCAGCAACGACGTTTTCTGGTCTATGGCCTGGTGGCAGACTGTACTGACTGACGAACTTGTCGACGACTTTTCCAGTTTCATCATGATGAGCCCCCTCGATAACTATGTTATTATTGGAAATCTTCACACTCATCTCATCTGTTCCGTAGTTTTTTAATCCTTTTGTAATCGTTAGGGCTTTATCGTCCCTCTGAACAGCCATTGTGGTAATTGATATTGAAATTTTATTAACAATTTTTGTTTCTGACAAGCACTTGTTTTAATTTGTGGACGCTGAGATTGATTTGTCGATATATAATAATATCGATGAATAAAATCACGAAATCACTAAATAGAGGTTTGTGGTAGGAGGGTGAAAGTTAGGGCATATAATGTTTAATTACGAAAAAACAATGAACCAGATTGCTATTATTATATATTTATTTATTTATTTATTTATTTTTAAATATATGGTCCATAGATTTCTTCCAAGAGGACTCAAAAATACAATTATTTTACACAATGAATATAAAATAACATACATACAAATAGTAAAATTCATAATGTGCTTAACATAAAATTACATATAATGCAGAATGTAACAATATTATTAACTTCCCGTAGGGTAAGTTATTGTAATGGGCCGAAAATCGGAATTGAAAATTTTTACATTTCTCGACGTTTTGAAGGTTTCTGAACATTTTGGCATACTTCAGAAAAAATGGATGTGTGTGTGTGTGTGTGTGTGTGTATGGATACAAATTTTTGCCCACGTTTTTGGGCGTACGGATCAACCGATTTGAATGGTTCAAAAAACATTCGATTCCTATTGATAGTGAAAAGAGCTGATTAGTTTTTGGCAAAGGCAGGTCCAGCCGTTTCGGAGATACGGAGCAAAGAGTGCAGAAAATAGAAATCGAATTTTTGAGAGAACGGAGTATCCGATTTGAATGATCTAAAAAACATTCAATTAGTAATGATTGGGAGAAGTGTTTATTAGTTTTTGGCAAAGGCAGGCCCAGCCATTTCGAAGATACGGAGCTAAATGTGCAAAAATGACAGTTTTTGAGAGAACTAAGCGTCCTATTTAAATGATTCAAAGAACTTTCTGCTTGTCTTAACAAAATAATTGGTTTTGGAAAAAAAAATTTGTTTCATTTTTTTTTTTGGTATATCGAAAATAATTTAGATTTTATTTTTAATTCTGACTATAGTTCTAATATACTTTAAACGAATAATTTCAACTTTGCAATTTAGTTTATGTAACTCTTATAAATATTAGACAATGTTACAATATTAATAATAATCTATTTGAAAACATTCAGTATTTCTCGAACATTTTGTTACGGTACGGGAAGTTCTAGCAATTTGCCTTAAAGCACGATGCCATACACCCCACTAGTTAAATATATAGCCCACAGATTTCTTCCAAGAAGACTCAAAAATACAATTATTTTACACAATGAATATAAAATAACATATATACAAAATTACAACATATAGTTATTAACATAAAATGCATAACGTAAAATTACATATAATACGGAATGTAACAATATTAATTATTTACAGAATAATATAAAATAATGAGATATTTGGAAAGAAAATAAAAAGGTTAACTTGTGCAGATGGAGATTATTTGATTAGGTGAAGTGTTGTTGTGAATATCTATTTCATTATTAATTAAGTTAAAGTTAGAGGACATAAGTAGAATAGGCGAATTTAAGAGAATATTAGATTTAGGAGTAGGATAATTGAAAAATAATTGTGAACGCTTAGATAGCCTTAGAACATTGAAGGATAGTTGGTTAAGAATAATAGGACGGTCTATAGTATTATGGCAAAGTTTGAATAAGAACATAATTGTACAGATAAATCGACGTGAGGCAAGGGAAGGAATACCAAATTCTTTTAGTAAAGTGTTATGGTCAAAGCCACGTTCAGGGTAAATTTTATATCTTTTAAAATAAAGATATTTCAGAAATTTTCGCTGAACCTTCTCTATCGCATCAGAGTTGTTGATTTGATGAGGATACCAAATAATCGAACCATATTCTAATTTTGAACTTACAATAGAATAGTACATGCAAAAAAGTGCATTGTTAGAATTGAATTGTTAACAATTTCTCAGTATCAAACCTAAAGATTTGTGTGCCCTATTACAAATTTCAGTTATATGATCCGTGAAAAACAAACCAAAATCAAATAGAACTCCTAAATCTGAAATTTTATTACATCTATCAATGCTTTTATAATCAAAATGTATTGTAGCGCGCTTATGTGAAAAACTAAGAATCTTGCACTTTGATATATTTAAATGTAATTTGTTATAGACACACCAAGAGTGGAAAGAGTCAAGTTGAGACTGTAATAATAAGCAGTCATCAATAGAATTTATTTTGAGATATAGTTTGAGATCATCTGCAAATAATAAATGTGGACAGCTAATAATTTCAGATATGGCATTAATAAAAATAATAGATAGTATTGGCCCTAAAATGGATCCCTGGGGAACACCTGAACATATGTCTGAGCATTAATAATAATTGATGTAATATTTTTAAATTCGATGTAGATATTTCAAATGATGAAATAAGAGTTTGCAGTACATGTGTGAAAATTTAGGATCCCATAGATTTTTATATCATATTGATTAATAATTTTCATTGATTTTTAATTCTATTTTCAGTTGTTTAGATTCATCATTAGCCATGAGGCCAGTTTTCTCAAGATTTCAATCAGTTGTCATCACATCAGGAACTTTGTCACCTTTGGATATGTATCCAAAGATTTTGGATTTTCAACCTGTGATAATGTCATCGTTTACGATGACTTTGGCAAGGCCTTGCCTATTACCAATGGTAAAAAATATATAAAATATTAAATATAAATATATATATATATATATATATATATATATTATTTTATTTTATTTTTTAGATAGTTTCAAAAGGCAATGACCAAGTTGCTATATCGAGTCGGTATGAGACACGTGAAGATGCAGCTGTTATTAGGAATTATGGACAATTATTAGTCGAGGTTAGTCTAAATAGTTATAGAAATAATATTATAACTAAGATATAAAATAACATATCCATATATATATATATATATATATATATATATATATATAAATTGATGTATGTCTACCGTGCCTTTTATGCTCTTAAGCACATTAATTGCGATGCTGAATGGAATGTTTTACTCGATGATGCATCTAATACACTATACGTGCGCTATTTCCCATCTTGATAACTAGATGTAGCAGAATCGCATTCTTGTTCAAATTTTTATTTATATGTATAAATAATTACTATACGTGGTCAAAGGTAAAGTTTCTATTTTTTGTATCAATTCCCATTTTTGTTCCAGGTTGCCAAAAATGTACCCGATGGTGTTGTGTGTTTCTTTCCATCGTATTTATATCTGGAATCAGTCGTGGCTTCTTGGTACGATCAAGGAATTATCGATACTTTGTATAGATACAAATTATTGTTTATAGAAACACAAGACAGTGCTGAAACTAGTTATGCTCTCATGTATTATGTCAAGGTAAGTATACGTGGTGTGTTCAAAAAGTACCCGGAATTACTAATAATTAAATTTCGCGGGTCTGGAGTGTCTGATTGTCAAAATTTTTTTTTTATTGTGTTGGTATACATGCCCCTAAAGTATGATGAAATTTTCAGCTATATTCACTGTTTACTTTGTCTGTGGTAGTCGCTAAGGTTCGACGTGTTTTTCTGAGCTCGGCGATTTTTACAATGGAAGAATTGAAAAAGTCAAAGAATTTGTATTAAATTTTGCGTAAAAAATGAAATAAAGTGTTGCAAAGTGCAAAAATTCACCAGATATGGCTCCGTGTGACTTTTTCCTATTCCCAAAGTTGAAGAGACCCATGAAAGGACGGCGGTTTTCCTCGATTGAAGAAAATCGCTGAGAGTGCTCAAGGACATATCAAAAAGTGAATATCAAGGGTGTTTCGAAAATTGGAAAAAACGCTGGCATAAGTGTATTATATCTGGGGGGGACTACTTTGAAGGGGACCACATTAATGTAGACGAATAAATAAATATTTTTTTGAAAAAACGAAAATTTCGGGTACTTTTTGAACAGACCTCGTATATACATATATATATATATATATATATATATATATATATATATATATATATGAAGGAGTTCTTGAGGGCGATACATCAAACAAAGAAAAGGCAAAGATTTATAAAATAATCTTTGATTCCAAACGTTTCTACATTCAATTTAATGTCATCATCAGTGGATATTAACGTTGGTAGGTTACATCTAGAGAAGTGTACACAACACTAGAAATTGGCACTAACATTTATACAACTAACTTGTCAACACCAAGCATTTTTTATAATTTTTTGTATGATGTAAACAGAAAAATGATAGTTTTATTTAAACAAAAATGTAAGTAAAATTATGTAATTTCTGCCACGACTTCTGTACTTTGCGCGTTCCGAGGCTTATGCAAAAATCTCGTCTATCAAATAAATTGTTTAGATTGTAACTTAATTTACATAGGAGAAACTAGCCAGAACTTTAATAAACGGTTACAACAACATAAGAACAATTCAAAAAGCCCGAAACAATACAAAGCTGTACTTGCAGACCATATTTACACTTTAAAACACAATATGGACTTTTCTAACCCGACTGTACTGCAATTCGAACAAAATTTATTTAAACGAAGAATTATAGAAGGATCTTTTTCAACTATTTATAACAATAAGACAATAAATAAACGGAATGAACTCAACACGCTGTGCGACACAAATCTCTTCTATTTAAAAAACATTTCCAAATTTCTCACAAACAATAAAAACGACGCGCAAAGGATTCGCAATTCGTTCCACACATGTGTAGAATCTTGATAAAAATATTTTTTAAAAATGTCTTTCTCCATTATATCTTCAACTAGTCTACGAATAACACACTATCCATTTGTGATTTTTTAAAATTAGTATTTTGTGAAAATATTGTGTAATTTCAAGTTAATGTTTATAATACATAGTGTAGTGCATTACCATATCCTGATACCATGGATTATTAAAATTTTCCAATTTAACACTAAGATTAACTAATTGTAAGTACTAATTACTATTTTATTTTTTTCTTTTCACTCCAATTCAATTGTTTTTAGTTTTTAATTTTATTTTTAGTTTCCACTGAATGAAGGCTAGGATTATAGCCGAAACGTATGGATTTAAAATAAATTTTTGAAAGAAATTCATGTTTTTTATTGATGTTATGCCCGATTATTAGACTTTGTTAATATATATATATATATATATATATATATATATATATATATTAATTTAATATATTTCTATTATCTCAGGCTTGTGATAGTGGCCGAGGTGCTGTATTATTAGCAGTAGCCCGTGGAAAAGTTTCCGAAGGAGTCGATTTTGACCATCATTACGGAAGGGCTGTGCTCATGTTTGGCATTCCTTATGTTTATACTCAATCTAGGATATTGAAGGCACGTTTGGAGTATTTGAGGGATCAGTTTCAGGTAAAAATTATAAATCATTTTTAACTAGTACTAGTAGTAATAATATTATTGACGACGGTCAAATTAAAAGTGATTTTCTTTATTTTTTTATTATTAAATTTACAGATACGAGAAAATGATTTTCTAACATTCGATGCAATGAGGCATGCTGCACAATGCGTGGGGAGAGCTATACGGTAATAATAATAATAATAATAATAATATTAGTTGTAGTTGAAAGATTTATAGAACAATACATATTTAGATTTAATTCTTTATTTTGTTAATTAATATTTTTTATATAAGGTTGTCAAATATCTCCCTTCCGCCTTTTTGTATTATAAACCAAGAGCAAAAAAGCGGAAGGGAGATATTTGACAACCTAATATATAGATCTATATTTTTAATAATTTGTGGTTGATGTTGCATTTAAATATTTATTTTTTTAGTGGTAAAACCGACTATGGTATTATGATATTTGCTGATAAAAGATTTTCAAGATCTGATAAACGAACAAAGTTACCTAAATGGATTCAAGAACATTTGACTGATAATTATTGTAATTTGAGTACGGAAGAATGTATTCAGGTAAATATCATTATATATATATATATATATATATATATATAATTGTTTCTCGGGCATCCATCCAGTAATTAAAAAACAGTTTTATTTATGATAAATTTATCATAACTCGACGTTATTTTATCAATTTTTTGTTTTATATTATTTTTTCGTTGCAATTTCGTGCGTTTTTGTATTTTTTTTTTCAAATTTATTTGTATGGTGAGTTTCTTTACATTTGTTTATTTTATGGTTGTTTTTCATATATTCTTTCACAATATATATTTGTTTTGAAACTAATTTATTAAATTGGTTAGATTTATGTTTTTTTACATGTTTTTATTTATTTTTGTCTGTAATTATGTATTTTTTATATTGTTTTAAATTGTAACCCTGAAATATTTAATTGTAGCACTGAAGATGGGTCAAATCTAGACCCGAAACGTATGTTCTCTGAATAAAAACTTTTTTTTTCTATAAAACTTTTTTAATTACTGGATGGATGCCTAACAAACAATTTTATCATATTATTTCACCATCTGAAGAAAAACCTCTCCCTTTATATATATATATATATATATATATATATATATATATATATATATATATATATATATATATATATAGATAATTTTTTTTATTATTGACTGTTTTTTCTAGTTGGCAAGACGATGGCTAAGACAAATGGCCCAACCGTTTCCCAAAGGTGATCAATTAGGAGTATCATTGCTAACATTGGAACAACTACAAAATATGGAACGAGAAAAGTTAGAAAAGAGAGTACTACGTGATGCTATTTAATATTAAGGTCAATTTGTTTTGAGTATTTTTTTTATTTATATAATAAACTATATTGAAAATGAAACAGAATGCTTTTCATCCAAAAATCCGATTTAATAATAATTTAAAAAAAATGGAATCAATAAAATCCACAAATAGTACATATAGAATTTTAAATTTAACTTATGTTTTTTATTTAATTTTGTATGAAAAGCTATTAAGTGCTGTATAGTAATATAGATATGTTGACAATTTTATTGCGTTTATATTTTCCTTAAGACAAAAAGCTACTCACACCTAGTATATTATAATTTTAAGCATTTAATTATATTAAAATTTATGAAAACAAATTTAAATTTTGCGCCATTTTTGTTGAATTCGTAAAATCCACAATGGCGTCAACTGTCAACCGCGACATTTTGCACCTGTCAACTTCAAATGACATCATGTTTTACTTAAACACTTAAAACATAAATTATAACAATTATTTATTAACATATATGTTTATATTTATTTGTGATAGTGTAAAAAGTATTTATACAACTAATACTGTACAAAATACTACATACAGTACTACAAAAAATACTACATTTTGTTTTCAAGTGCAAACTGTCAAATCAAATTTGCCAAAAACAACACACATGATTCAATTTCTATAAATATTTATGTATTTTTCTAAAACAACGTTTTAACGAGTTTAACTAACAGTATTGTATTGTAATAAAATTTATTTTTGTACTTCATAACTTGGTTATGTCAATATCCTAATTGTCTATAAATGTTGAGGGAATTCTTGTACAATGAAAGAAGATTATAATATTAGTGTGGGCTCTAGAGTTTTATGCCAGAATTATGTAGGAACTGTTAAATACATTGGACAAGTCGAAGGCTACGATGGGGAATGGATCGGTATGGACTGGGATGATGCTGAACGGGGAAAACATAATGGAGTTGTTAATGGAAAACAATACTTTACAACAAGGTAAAAGAAAACATAGTATATAAACATTATTAACTTTGTACTAATTCTTTATATTGTTTTAGGTATCCTAAGTCCGGTTCTTTAGTAAGACGTAACAAAATAAATGTTGGGGTAGAGTTTGTGGATGCTCTAGGAAGACGATATTTGCACAAAACTGATGCCGAGTATTTAAACCCTGTACTTTTAGAAGAGTGCAGAAAAGTTTTGAACACTGTTAGTTTTGAAGTCGTCGGGTTGAATAAAGTTGGAAAAAAACAAAGGTTAGTAACCTAAATATATATAATATAATATATAATAATATATAATTGTAAACAAATTATATAAAATGGATGTATTTTTGTAGTAATCTAGATAAGCTGGTTAACATATGCCTACCGGGTGAAAAAATCTCATATGTGAACACCAAGAAATTAAACGGGCTGTGCCCGAGTGCTGAAGAATTAAGTTTGAATCATAATTTAATCAGCAATTGGAGAACCGTAGCTGATATTATTGAAGCTATGCCTTGCCTTAGATTATTAGACTTGAGGTAATAATTTATAATAATTACTAAATACATTTACCACCATATTCACATATTTCTTTTATCCTTTTAGTAAAAACATACTAGATTTCAATGAAAAAGATTTATCACAATTTGAAGGTAAATTCAAATCATTAAAATCATTTGCTTTATGCTTTGGAAACTTAACATTTGACAATGCTATAAGTATATCAAAAATGATGCCGGGACTGATTGAATTAAAATTAGCAAAAAATAATATTACATCATTGAGAACACTAGACGATAATTTATTTGCAAATATTAAAGAACTCAATTTGGATGCTAATGACATATGCGATTGGAAGGAGGTGGAAAAGTTGGGACATTTGAAAAATTTAGGTGATGATAATAGATTTATTATTTATTTATATATATATATATATATATATATATATATATACAGTAGTAGAGTAATGATTTTTTCAAACTTTTGCATGTACTGAATTTTTAAAAATACTTTTGTTTGTTCTGGAGGGTTGTAATTTCATTATGTTTTACTTTAATACGTCTATTATAATAACAACTACTAAAATCAATAAGTTTTCTAAGAAATTTTTGAGATATTTGCGTTTATATAAGAAAAGTACCCAAAAAAACATGATAAAGTTAAGTAGTAGAGTTGCCATTTCTTAAAATACTATGGCATCTTTTTTGGCATCAATTTTTTAAAAATACTTTTGTTTGTTGTAGAATGTTGTTATTTTAGTATGTTATACTTTGATATATTTACTATGAAAATAAATACTAAAATCGGTGAGTTTCTTTAGAAATTTCTAAGATATTTACATTTTTATGTAAAAACTACACCAAAGAAACTTGATAAATTAAAATAGTATAATTGTAAATTTTATAAAAATACTTTCGTTTGTTGTAGATTATTCTAATTTTAGCATATTATACTTTAATATGTCTATTATAACAACAAATACTAAAATTGATAAGTTTCTTGAGAAATTTTCAAGATATATTTAATTTTGTGAGAAATGTACCCGAAAAACATGAATAATTAATGATTTAATATAGATTTGTTGTACTTTCTTTAAAAAACTTTTGAATATTGTAGAATATTGTAATTTCAGTATTTTATACTTTGATACGTTTACTATAACAACACATACTAAAATTAATAAGTTTTCTAGGAAACTTTTGAAATAAATACATTTTTTACGAAAAAAGTACTTCAAAAATTTCGGAAAATAGAAAAGTTGTCAATGTTTAAAAATACTTCCTTTTGTTGCAGAATCTTGTAATTTTAGTATGTTGTATGTCAATATGTCTATTATAACAACAAATACTAAAACTGATAAGTTTCTTTAGAAATTTTTAAGATATGTGCATTTATATGAAAAAAGTACCTGAACAATATAGAACACTGAAAAATTAATATAGTTGTAATTTTTTAAAAAATACTTTCGTTCGTTGCAGAATGTTGAAATTTAAGTTTCTTATACTTTAATGCGTCTTAAATAAAAACAAATACTAAAACCGATGAGTTGCTTCAGAAATTTTTAAGATATTTACGTTTTTATAAACGAACTACACTAAAAAAACTGATTATATTTGTAAAGTTTCCCATGTTGTAAATTTTTTAGAAATATTTTCTTTGTTGTAGAATGTTGTTATTGTTGTATGCAGTACTTTAATATGTTTACTATAACAGCAAATACTAAAATCGATAAGTTTGTTAAGAAATTTTTGAGATACTTGCGCTTTTATGAGAAAAGTACCCGAAAAAGTCGATAAAACAGAAAAGTTGTAAATTTTCGAAAATACTCATATGTTGTAATTTTTTTTAAAATACTTTTGTTTATTGTGGAATGTTGTAATTTTAGTATATTATACTTTAATACGTCTACTATAAGGGCAAATACTAAAATCGATAAGTTTTCTAAGAAATTTTTAAGATATATACATTTTTACAAAAAACGTACTCAAAAAACTCTATAAAGTAGTAAAGTTGCCAATTTTTGAAAATACTCGAATTTTGTAAATTTTTTAAAAATAGTTTAAGTTGTTGCAGAATCTTGTAATTTCAGTATGTTATACTTTAATATGTCTACTATAACAACAAATACTATAATTAATATGTTTCTTAAGAAATTTTTGAGATATAAAAATTTTTATGTAAAAACCACACTAAAAAACAAAGTACAAGACAACACAGTAAATTTAATACAATGAAGTACGAAAGTTTATATATATATATATATATATATATATATATATATATTGATTTTTTTCATTTTTTTTTTCAGAAATATTATTAATAAGCGAGATAAAATTAAAGGAGATCTCATTGCCTGAATGCAAGGAGAATGAAAAATGTGATATTTTTGTCAATTTGAGACATTTAAGTATAAGTTACAATGAAATAGACAATGTAAGTATTTTTGTTGTTACAAAGTGTTATGTATCTATTATTATAATTTTTTTTTTTTCAGTGGAGGTCGATAAGCGAATTAAACAAATTAAAAAGTCTCAAATCGTTAGGCTTTTTGGGTAATGCTGTTAGTGAAGGTATTAGTTATTTAGAACGATGGAGCCAGGTTGTGTCAAGGGTGCTAGGTTTGACGGTAAATAAAGATTATAATTTCATTGTTGATTATTCTTTATGTATTATGGATTTTTACGGATTATTATTTTTGTTGTAGCATCTCGACCATGCTGAAATATTTTATGAAGAACGAAGAGGTGCTGAATATGATTTACTGAAGCAACACGGTATGGCATGGGCTCAAAGCTGTGATGACCCGATATTGAGGAAGAAGTTTGTGGATGAGATTAATAGCTATCCAGCATTGATTACAAGTGAGTTACAAATCAAAATTCCAGACCAACATGAAATAATATTGCTTTTTGTTCTTTACCAGGATATGGGGCTCCTGAAACAAGTCTTTGCGAAAAGCCTACCTTGCCAAAATCAAAACTCCTAACCGTAACCATCACAAACACAAGAGACTCCAAGAAGATTATCAAAAAACTACCTGTTAAAATGACTGTACAAAGTCTTCTTGGGTTGATACAAAAATGCTTTGACACAGGAAACAATGTGCCGACTTTGTACTACATCAGCCCTAGTAATCCAGGGAGTAAAATTCAACTAGATAATGTTACGAAGAATTTAAATTATTTTTCTTTGCAAGATAACGACACTATTGTTGCGGAATGGTGAAGTGAAAAACTGATATTATTTATTAAATTAATTTTAATGCAAATGCTTATTATGGTTAACTAATGAAATATATTTTTAAAGTGATAATGGATTGATTTTCGTCATTAACAGAAAATCCGACTTGGTAATTAAATAGTTTCAAGTCATTCTGAATCGTTTAATAAGCTTAATATTTTATTAAAAAAAACTTTTTGGAAAAAGTTTTAAATTCAAATAAGCTGTCAACCGCCATTTTGTGTTAACTTCAGTATTCGGTTTAGTATTTCTTTCAAATTAAATTATTGAAGTAAACTCGTTAAATTGAAATATTATTTTAAAGCTATTTATTTTATTTATGTATTCTAATTATAATTTAATTCTAATATTCTATTAAAGAAACACTTTTAAAATTGTAAAATTTCAAAAAAAAAAACTGTCAACGGCCATTTTGCGTTAACTTCAAGTGCTATGTCGGTTTAACATTCCTTTAAAATTAAATTATTAACGTATTTAAAGCTCGTTAAATTGTAAAATTATATTTTAGCTATTTAATTCATTTATATGTTTATTAATTTTAATAATTTAATTTAAAAAAATACTTTTAAATTGTAAAATTTCAAAAATACTGTCAACCTCCATTTTGCGTTAACTTCAGATGTGTGTCGGTTTAATATTTCTTTAAATTAAATTATTAATGTATTTAAAGCTTGTTAAATTATAAAATTATATTAAATCTGTCTATTTATATATATAAATCTATTAATTTTAATAATTTATTAAAGAAACACTTTTAAAATTGTAGAATTTCAAAAATACTGTCAACCTCCATTTTGGGTTAACTTCAGTTGTGATATCGGGTTTAGTATTTTTTCAAAATTTAATTATTAAAGTCCTTAAATGTAAACTCCTTAAATTGTAAAATTATATTAAAGCTGTTTATTCTATTTTAATATCTATTAATTTTAATGATTTAATTTAAAAAAATACTTTTAAATTGTGAAATTTCAAAAATACTGTTATCCTCCATTTTGTGTTAACTTCAGTTGTGATATCGGTTTTAGTATTTTTTCAAAATTTAATTATTAAAGTATTTAAAGCTAATTAAATTGTAAAATTATATTTAAGCTGTTTAATTCATTTATATGTCTATTAATTTTAATAATTCAATTTAAAAAAATACTTTTAAATTGTGAAATTTCAAAAATACTGTTATCCTCCATTTTGCATTAACTTCAGGTGTGTTTCGGTTTAGTATTTCTTTAAAATTATATTATTAAAGGATTTAAAGCTTGGTAAATTATAAAATTCTATTAAAGCTGTTTATTTTATTATAATATCTATTAATTTTAATAATTTAATTTGAAAAAATTCTTTTAAAATTGTAAAATTTCAAAAAAACCGCGAACCACAATTTTGCGTTAACTTCAAGTTAGTTACTTCAACAGTTGACACAGCAAAATGTCGGTTTCAGTATTTCTTTAAAATTCAACTAATATTTAGTATTTAAAAGCTAATTTTAATATACACGTATATATTTAAATAACATGTCGTTGATAAGAAGCATTTGTTTTGTAAAAAGTTTAAAATCGCATTTGAAAACAAAAGATAACCTAAAACAATTTGTGCAAATTGTGCGTACATTACAAGATTTGGTGAAATTGAAATAATTTGTGCTACACAAGATGGAAAAGTAAGTGATACATTTTATGTATTATATTTATAATGTCTTTGTCTATTTTTGTTTGTTACTAGATTTGTTCATGAAATTTTGAAGGTTATGTATGTATAAACAATCTCAGATATATGACAGTTTCTTGTCTGGATGATTAAAACTGAGTCAACTTATTATTTCTAGTTCCACAAAGTTCATCACGATGCAAACAATAATGTTCACTTTCTGCATACTGTCCCTGTTGACTGTAGCAATTTTTGGAGATTTCTTCACGATGAAAGCCTCAAGTGACGTTCTTCGTGCAATTATCGATAATTTCATTCACAGTGCCATCGGTTCCATGACTTGGCTCATTGTGATTTTGTTCAAACGTAAAAGAAACGCTTTGGCTGTCGTCTTATTTGAATTCATGTTATGTGCTGCCTTATCTTCTATTATCGATGTTGACCATTTCATAATGGCACACTCCTCAAGCTTATATGTAAGTAATAATAATATTAAGTTGCTGTACCCAGTACACAATGTATATTATTATTTCTCTCAGGATGCTACACATCTCATGTCTCGACCGTACTTCCATTGTTCCACAATACTGCTGGTGCCAGTCGTCATTTATTTACTGAGTTTGTTTGGACGGGTAGAATGGATGCACACGGTTTCATGGATGATTTTTGTGTCTATTTTCACGCACCATATAAGGGATTCCATCAGACGGGGGATGTGGTTTTGTCCGTTTGGAAGCACTGAACCTGTTCCTTATTGGCTGTATGTGGTTGTGTTGGCTTTGGTGCCTTCGGTGATTATCGGGTACAGCAAACATTTGAAGGAGATTAAACCACTTTTTAAGTCGGTTCATAATGAGTTCAAGATTTTGATTTTGGATGATGGTGACGTTTGATGGCTGTGATTGGAATATTGATTTTAAATGTATATTTTGACGAGGAATGAGATTGTTTTGAATTTTAATAGAATTTATTAAATATATTACTGAGTTTGATATTTTTTTAAATTTTTAAATAGGTGCATATTTTATATGATAAATAATATTTTTATCTAGCATTTATTAACTAAGAGAAGTTTATTTATATTTTTGTCAAGAAATCCGATATGCTAATTTTGTTTTTTCGACGTTCCAAGTCGTTCTGAATCGTTTGACACCGAAAATGAAAATATATATATATATATATATATATATATATATATATATATATATATTTATATATAAGGTCGCGTTCATTGATTACATGAGGCTTTTTGGAGTATGGAGGTTTTGACAAAAAATCCCGAAATAACACTTTTGGAAGGGAGGGGTGGGTATAGCAAGATATCATGTGTATTTATTTTTTACCTGTATTTTTTTAAAAAATCCGAACGTTTACCAAAAAAAATCAAAAATTTCACTTTTTTCTTAACTAAAAATACACGTAATGTTTAATGGGGATGGGAGGGTAATTTTAAATATCACGACATATCACCAACGGGGAAGGGGGCTCCAAAAAATTCCTGAAACTCGATTACCCTTAGGAGGCGTCCTTAAATCACGTGACTGATTTTTTGAGAATTTTTGAATCCCATTCTTAGTAATATGTGGTGATATTCAAAATAAACCCCCTTCCCTCCAAAGATAACGTATATTTTTTAGTTGCCAAACAAATGAATTTTTGACACATGAAACAAAATTCTAAATAATTTTTTGAATAAGTACATTTTTTTGTATTGTGTTTTAGTAAAGTAAGGCTAAACACGACTGCATTAGTTAAAAAAAAAAAATCTGTCAAATTGAATTATATGATTTTACCTGCCAAGTACATACTGTATCTTATATTAATTTCTGGCACATCTCAGCTGCTTTTCGGCAATAATAATGTAGACATTACATTTTTCTTGTATATTATATTCTAATATTATCTAGGCTCATAAGTGAATTGAAATTTCTAGCAGGTGACGGTTCTCATTTGTCGAACTATTTTCAATGTCAAACAACGACATGCCGTTTTTCGCAATTTTTTCCATTTATTGGTACAATGTTACTATATTTTTATAATCACATACGTCCTAAAAAATTTCCTTACTAAACTTCAGAAATATTTATCAAAATCCGAATAACCGTTTAGGAGGAGTGTCTTTACTCTTTACATACATCATTACAGAACAATTTTATATATATAAGATATAGAAATAACTTTATATATATATAAAATATTATATTTAAAATAACTTAAATTTTAGTATATTATTGTATAACATATAAAATGTAACCGTGGACCAAATGTAAAAATATGTGATGAACAATTTATATAATTTTATTTGTAGAAATTAATTTTAATTATTATTAATATTAATATTGTGATATGTATTATATATATAAATATATTTATACATGTTGGAGAAAAACTGCATTTTTTGAAAAGTGCAAAGGAGAAGTATATGTTTTTGACAGTAAATTCGATTTGTGCGATGTTTTCTCGAGTCTTTCTGAATCGTTTGGCACTGAAATTTGAAAAAGTATGTTCGGGAATCGACGTTTTTCTGAACCAAATTAAAACATTTAAAAGTTTGAAAGATATTTGTAAAGATCGTCTGGGCCTTTTTTTTCGTAGTAATTGATTTTCTTTGAAAATTTAATTGGCTCATCAGTAGAGTCCTTTTCTTAATTCTTGATTAAGTTTGCTCGTCCGTAGAGTCCTCTTCTTAATTCTAGATTAAGTTGGCTCCTCAGTAGAGTTCTTTTATTAATTCTGGATTAAGTTTGCTTATCAGTAGTGTCCGCTTTTTCTTTAAATTTGTAAAGTTTGTTTGCTTCTCAGTGGTATCATTTTCTTCTTTCGATTTTAAATTCAGATTTTTGGTCGTCGGTAGCGTCCTTATATTAATACTGGATTAAATTTGTTTGTTTGTATGATTCTTTCTCATTTGATTTCTAAATTTAGATTTTTGGTCAACAGTAGACTTTTTTCTTAATTCAAGATTCAGTTTGCTCGTAAGTACAGTCCTCTCTTTCTTTTGATACACGATAGTTAGTAACGTTGTCTTATTGTTTAGTTTGCTTTTCAGTTTTTTTTTTGCTTTTTGCTTGTTAGTTTGTCAGTTGAGTTCTCTTTTTCCATTTATTTCTACAATGTTACTATATTTTTATAATTCAAATAAACCCTAAAAAAAATCCTTAACAAATTTCAGAAAGATTTATCAAAATCCGAATAATCCAAATAAGGAGGAGTATCCTTTCATACATCATTATAGAAGAATTTTATATATAAGATATATATATATATATATATATATATATATATAAATTTATATATTTCTATTTATATTATTATTTATTGGGAGTGCACGGTTGAGCGATGATCTATGACAAAGATCGAACAGAAGGTTGAATCGCTCGTTTTACTCGTTTTACTTATGCAACCTGAGACAATGACAATAAAAATGTGAAAACCGACTTGATTATCACCATCACCATTATTATCATTACATTACATTACTCACCACTGCCCACGTCTTGGACGAAGAGTGAAAAAAAAAAACATTGCAAAAAAAAATCAAATTAAATTCAAATTAAAAATCATCGCCGCCGCCGACGCCTCCACGAACCGCGAAGGTTCCGTCTCAATCGCAGAATTAGATCTTGAAGCGAGGACACGAGTGAAAAGTTGAAATATAAATATTCTATTTTGAATTTGAATTGAAGGCTCTTCATTTGTGATAATGGTAATTGATAGTCGGTACTTGATTTGGGTTTGGTTGTGTCGTCGGGTAACCCTAAGATTTAACGTCATCTGGCAACACCGCCGCCATTAGGGACGAAGTATGTAATTCAAAATCATTAATGGTCTATTTTTTGGGGAAAAAAGGACGCTCAGAAAGTTAAACTAATAATAGCAATCAGGAAAACTTCTGTCCCTTCATTTTTGATATGCATAATTCATAGTCAGTACTTGATTTGGGTTTTGTTGTATCATCGGGCAACCCTAAGGTTTAACGTTATCTGGTAACACGGTCACTATTAAGGACGATGTATTTAACTTAAAATCAATAATGGCCAATTTTTTGGGTGAAAAGAAGGTTCAGAAAGTTTAGTAATAACAGTAACCAGAAACACTTCTGGCTCTTCATTTTTGATAACGGTATTTCCTAGTCGGTACTTGGTTTGGGTTTGGTTGTGTCATCGGGTAATACTAAGATTTAACATCATTTGGCAACACTGACACCATTAAAGACGAAGTATTTAATTTAAAATCAATAATGGCCAATTTCTTTTAGGTAAAAAAGGACGCTCAGCAAGTTGAAGTAATAATAGCAACTAGAAAAACTTCTGGTTCTTTATTTTTGATAAAGATAATTCATAGCCGGTACTTGGTTTAGATTTGGTTGTGACATCAGGCAACCCTATGGTTTAACGTCATCTGGCAACACTGCCACCATTAAGGACGAAGAATTTAACTCAAGATCAATAATGTTAAGCCATATTTTTAGCGAACTAGGAGACTCAAATTCAAATCATTTTCAACTTTATCTTCATATTTAATTTTATTAATCATTACTATAATTATTTATTATTTGATGATGATAATTGATAGTCGGTACTTGGTTTGGGTTTTGTTGTGACATCAGGCAACCCTATGGTTTAACGTCATCTGGCAACACTGCCACCATTAAGGACGAAGAATTTAACTCAAGATCAATAATGTTAAGCCATATTTTTAGCGAACTAGGAGACTCAAATTCAAATCGTTTTCAACTTTATCTTCATATTTAATTTTATTAATCATTACTATAATTATTTATTATTTGATGATGATAATTGATAGTCGGTACTTGGTTTGGGTTTTGTTGTGCCATCGGGTAACCCTAAGATTTAACGTCATCTGGCAACACTGCCACCATTAGGGACGAAGCATTTAACTCAAAATTAATAATGTTAGGACAATTTTTTTAAGGAAAAAATGAGACTCAAAAATTTAAAATCCTTATATTCCTATTTATATGTTCTTATTATTCTCTAATTAATTATTATTATAATTATTTATTATTTATTCGTACGAATATGGTGTTACGTAAAAAAATGCTTACATTTTAATTCGATTTCAATAACGCAGAATCACTGCACCGTATAAGTAACAATAGACAGAGGGCTAGTCGCAATATCTGCAACTAGTGGTGCATGGCATTGTGTCTTAAACGAAATTTCTGGAATTGAAATATTGATCAATGATTAATAACAATTGTATTAAATATTCAAATATATAATTATAAATACTAAATATTTAATCGCTCATATATTATATAGGGAAGATCTTATAGGTTAAGAATGTTTACATTAACAAGAGATGCCGAATGAATCCATCTGAGGATATATTTCTTACGATTAGAATAACGCATATGAAATTTATATACGTTATATGTGATTTTGATTATTAAACCGATTTGTAAATTTAAAATTTATATTTGAAGTATAAATTTTTGTATACTTTGAAGGGGGTGGAAGTTTGACAAAAAATCACGAAATATCACGCGGGGGAGAGAGGGGTCTAGTAATATATCACGTGTATTTCTTTTTTACCTACATTTTCAAAAAAATTCAAAATTTTACCATTTTTTCTCTTAACACGTATCACCAAGGGGGAGGGGGCTTCAAATTTTTTTTAAAACTTGATCACGTTATTAATCGACGTTCTCTAATGATCATTTTTGACCGCCAACTATCTTCTTTTTGCACTTTTTCCTCTGTATCTCCAAACCGCTGGAAGTGCCATCTCAAAAATTCAATCCGTTCTTCATTTCGTCAATACAAGTCAAATGGTTTTTGAATCATTCAAATCGGACGCTCCGTTCTCTCAAAATCTGTAATACCAATTTTGCCAAAAACTAATCAGCACGTCTCCCTATCAATAGGAACAGTTTGTTTTTTGAATTATTCAAATCGGTTCATCTATACGCC